GTCTGGTTAAATTATGGTATGACAATGCTCTGAAATATATATATCCAGGGAATAAATTAAGTCTATGTATGGCCCAGGAGGAATATTCATGATATATTGTGAATAACAAAGGAAAATTACAGAATGATGTGTCTTATGATTTCATCTTTGTTTAAAAAGAAAAAACCCAAACAAAAAAAGTCCAACAAGTGTGTGTGTATATTTGTATTGATGTGAAAGATGTATAGGACATACATCAAGCTATTAACATTCATTACCTTGGGGTCATGGAAACCATAAAGTGTGTCTACAATCTGACTTGTCAAAATGAACATGTATTGCTTTGGGGTGAAAGTAACAGGAACACCAAGGTTGAAAAGAAATCACTCAATTGATTTAAATCAAGCCCAGTATTCAGACCTTGAATTATAATCTTGTTTTAGAAAGACTTTGCTGGATAACTGGGGTCTTTATTCAGTAATCACTAGATAATCCCAAAGAGAAGGTTAGAAGATGGTGGGTACATATATTCCCTCCAGTAACCAGAAAGCAGAGATCTCTTAAAATTAGAGATCAGGAAGTTTGATGTTGATTCCCAGCAAAGAATAATTCACTAAAAAGTTTGCTGGCATGTATTTAGATAATAAAGTAGCAATTATTAGGAGCCTGCATTTCTGGGAATTAAGTCATGCTAAAGTTAAATTAATCATATTTTAGTCAGGGTATTGTACACATAAAGAATTGAAACTTTCCTCATAATATGTTCTTGATTAAGATCAATCAATTTGTTGATTTCAATTTGTTATCTCCGCTTCCCTGGTGGTTCAGTTGGTAAAGGATCTGCCTGCAATGCAGGAGACCTGAGTTTGATCCCTGGGTTGGGAAGATCTCCTGGAGAAAGGAATGGCAACCCACTCCAGTATCCTTGCCTGGAGAATTCCATGGACAGGTGAGCCTGGGGAGCTACAGTCCATGGGGTCGCAGAGAATCAGAGACAACTGAGCAACTAACACAGAAGTAGGTCTCTACCCTTGGCCTCCTTTCAAGTTCTTAGCTATAGATATAGGAGTCTACAAAAAATATCATATATATCTACATATAGATATAGATATAAATGACATAAAGCCTAGAGGGAGCACTAAGTATTCTTTAAGATAAGATTAGGATGTGAAAACTTTCTGACAGGTTGGAGAGACTACAATAATAATATATGAAGGAATTGCATTACATGGAAAGTTCATTCAGATTCAAAAAATTAACTCCACAAGAAAGCAAGCAAGCTGGATCAATACAGATTTTTAAACTCTGAAGAACTGAAGGTAACCATAAAACAACTCTTAGGTGAAGCAATGGAGGATTGACAAAGAACAAATGAACCATGTGCCTCTGGTCTACCCTGTGGGGAGAAAGCCTAGTAAATGGAGCCCACTCTGGGGACTGCAGTACAAACTGAACATACTCAGAATAGTGGCAGAGAGAAGAAGCCTCCAGAATTAATGTTTTTAGTATCACATAAGTATAGGGGCCAATTCCTGAATTAAGGAGACATCACTTTGCCTATAAAGGTCTGTATAGTCAAAATTATGGTTTTTCCAGTGGTCAAGTATGGATGTGAGAGTTGTACCATAAAGAAGGCTGAGTGCCAAGAATTGATGCTTTTGAACTGTGGTGTTGGAGAAGATGCTTGCGAGTCCCTTGGACTGCAAGGAGATCAAACCAGTCAATCCTAAAGGAAGTCAACCCTGAATATCCATTGGAAGGACTGATGCTGAAGTTGAAACTCCAATACTTTGGGCATCTGATTCAAAGAGCCGATTCATTGGAAAAGACCCCGATGCTGGGAAAGATTCAAGGCAAAAGGAGAAGGGGGCCGGCAGAGGATAAAATGGTTAGATAGCATCACTGACTCAATGGACATGAATTTGAGCAAACTCTAGGAGATAGTGAAGGGCAGGGAAGCCTGGCATGCTGTAGTTCATGGTGTCCAACTTAGCAACTGAACAACAGTCTCTGTTTATGAAACCCTGTCTCAGCGGGAGTTGGGAGTGACATGGGTGTGAATGGGAGACCCACACTTGCCCTGCCATCAAGCAAGTTCTGTTACCGCTCCCCTTTTCTTAACTCCACACACATCCCACATATGTAAAGCCAGGTTTCCTAGAGCATAAGCAGTGTAGTTTAATGTAGCACATAGACCCAGCAATAAATAACATCAGATCTCATGGTGAATTTTCTAGTCATGCTCTAAATTTCTTTCAGTCCACTGATTGCATATACAGAAGAAAGTCTCTGTTAGGTGTTGATAAGTTTTTGACATTTCTCTCACACTTGCTAATTTTTTCTTTTTAATAAGGATAAAGCAGGCCTGGGGCATAGAGCCTTCAGCAAGCCACAGGAGCTAGTTGGAGTTTTTAAACACTGTTATGTTCTCGTATTTATTTTTATAAGGGAAACTGGCTTTCCATGTAAGGTAATGATCTAGTTTCTGATGGGGAGCAAAATAAAATGTGAGAGTCTAACAGTGCTTTAAAGTAAGAGAACAGGAAATGAAGCCTCATTCAGTTCAGGGTAGGTCTGTCTCTAGGGAGGTTTTTTTTTTTTCCCTCCCTAAAACCTTATTTAATACACATGCAAAAAAAGGATAGTCTTGTAAAACCTTTCTAAAATTAGAAATTAAGTTCCCTGTGATCACTTTTGACCTTTACATTTCTAGGTTCAGCACAGGGCATTTGGGACGGTCCCTAAATTCAGCTTTCCATTCAGCCACACTGGCATTTGCTCTGCTTTCGGCCTCCACCCTTTCCTCTAGGGAGGTTCTTGCTGGGAACCTGGGTGGAGTAAAAAAGGGAAGGATAAAAGGAAAGAGGAGTTTGGGTTTTGAAGGGGTAAAAAACCTCTTAAGTCCATATACTGAAGAAGATTCTTCAGATATGTTGTTCTACTGACTGTGGTGGACAATGCAGAAAACAAAGTGTGTCTGTGAGCATTCACATTGCATCACCTGGCCTTTGGACAAGGACTGAAGCTCTCTCTCCTGATGACCTAGGTGACTTAGCCCGGATGCAGCTGCAGCCTGTTGCTTGCATCATTTACCCAGCCTCTATTGTGGAGAGTGAATTGGCAAGTCAGCAGTTTCCTTTCAAAGCCCATTTATTTAGTTTTTTTTTTTCTTGACTCAAACACTGTATGTATACCCACGTTCTTAGCAGCGTTATTCACAACAGCCAAAAGGTGGAAGCAATCCAAGTGTCCACTGATGGATGAAACAATAAACAAAATATGGTTTATACACACAATAAAATATTATTCACCCTTGAGAAGGAAGGAAATTCTGACATCTGCTGCAATATGGATGAACCATGGAAACATTATAAGTAAAACAGGCCAGATACAAAAGTATAAATATTGTATGATTGCATCTGCTATTCTAGAAGAGTAGAATTCATAGAGACAGTCATTAGAATGGTGGTTACCAGCATTTGAGGGGAGCAGCAAATGGGGAGTTATTGGTTAATGGGACAGAGTTTCAGTCCTAGATGATAAAAATTTCTGGAGATGGATAGTGGTAATGGCTCCACAACAATGTGAATGTGCTTAATACTACTTAAATTATACACTTAAAAATGGTTAAAATGATTTTTAAGACTTAAGCCAAACCCAGGTGGCTCAGTGGTTCAGAATCCGCCTGCCAGTGCAAGAGTCACAGGAGGTGCAGTTTTGATCCCTGAGTCGGGAAGATCCCCTGGAGGAGGAAAAGGCAACCCACTCCAGTATTCTTGCCTGGAGAATCCCATGGACAGAGGAGCCTGGAGGGCTACAGTCCAGGGGCTCTCAAAGAGCTGGACACTACTGGAGCGACTGAGCACACACACAACACAGGCAAAACTATTCAGTGCAGAGGAACCCAGGAGTACTTGGCTATGGAGAAGGCAGTGAAAGTGTACGCCATGTCTCTCTGTTCCCACAGCCATCCCAATCATTCCCATCTTCTCTGTTCTGCTTTATGCCTTGGGGCCACATCAACATGCCTCTTGCCTTCCAGCTTCTGGCTGGAGTCACTCAGTGGGAATACCAGCAGGAGAATGAGGGAAGAAAGAAAACAGGATGGAGAATCTGTTTTCTTGGTTCCCTCTCTGCAGGATTGCTGCCCCCTCACTGTCCCTTGACCAGAGGTCCCACAGATCTCTCTGTCTCCAGACTCTGGTGCTTCCTCCTCTGGCCTCTTCAGACATAGAACACAGCAGCTCCCGCTGCCCCCCGCCCCAGGGAACTTGCACTGTCCCTCGTGATTTCCTCACTTCCTGCCAACACCTTTGTAAACAGTCCTCTTAATAAATTCTCAAATTACCCAATTTGAGTGTACCATCTGTTTCTTGTTGGCCTATGGCTTGACACGAGGTTATTTATAAAGATCAAAATTTGAGAAACACTGACCCAAAGAAAATCCACCTATATTCTCCAGATTGCTCTGAGCACCTAAACCTCCCAGATACCCAGAGAAGGCAATGGTAAGGGATGGTGAATGGTATCATCCTCCTCCCCATCCTCCATTCCCTGTCTTATACCAAGCACTTGTTTTCAGTTGCTATTTTAATGCAGAGTATTCAGCATCTACTGTTTTCTCCAATTCTGCAGATTGTAAATCACATTTTTTGTACATAACAGATTTTCATTCCAATAAAACAACTGAATGATTCAGATATTCCATAGTTTTATTTGAAAAAAAAGTATTTCTCCTGTATATGTTTCCATTGAATCCTAGGTACAGTTGTCCAAGCACATGGGGCAATTGCAGTTAAGTATGAACAGGAAGGTTGAAATGGTATCTTTGTAAAACTCTTTCAACACACAATGGAGATAAAGCTCTGTAAAATGAGCACTCTCTCTCCCCTCTAAGGTGGCTAATTATGGAGAAAATAAATAAGACTTCTGCATTCTTTCTTAGTCATAATGGCTTAGAATAAGTTGAATGCCCATCATCCCCCACCCCCAATCCAGGGGGGATGTATCCTGCCCATATACTATATACAGGTTATTTTCAGGTCATAAGAAACAGTCTCACTTGCTTGTAAGTTCACTGGCTCAGGTAAGCAGACCATATTTTTGCTGCAAGAGAAGAGAAACAAGAGGGTGTGCACTCAGGGCAGGTTCCTGGCTGGTCAGGAGAGAGGGCTCAGAATTGTGTGCCCTTGTGTTTCCATGATGTCAGGTCTACAATCATCTATGGGATGACTACTACAGGAGTCCACTCCTGTCCTCCAAGGGTCAGGTGTGGTAAGACATACTCTAAATGCCTGCTAGAGGTGGTAAAAAGGGGATAGGAATTCCAGATTCACACCCATGACTGTGACCAGCAGAGGCTGAAGAAGAGGAAATATGCAATGAACAATCTTTGTCCCAATAAAATTCTACAGAGAAACTAAATAGAACAGATACATAAAACATATATATCTATCAGATAAAATGGAGTTTCTTATATTAAAGTGGGAATGGGGAATTAAAGTCCACCCTCCTTGGCTTCTTAGCATCCCAACCCAAGATGGCTCTGCAGGAGATTCAGGACACCCTGGGTCTCTGTCATCTCTCCTTCAAGGAAGCTTATCCCCATGATGAGACTGCACCTCTCAACAAGGGTCACATCTGAGGTCAGCCTTGGTCCTGGTGGGTGTGTTTGAGGTGGGGTGGATCTGGGGCTTACTTGTCATTGACAGGCAGAGGAGCAGTGCAGAACCTCCCAATGATGGTCGTCTGGTCTTTTTTCCAAACCCGGTGGGAAGCCTGAAGCTTGAGTTTCACCTGGTTTATCTGGCACTGAGGGCTGGGGTGAGCTAGGACTCCTTTTCCAACACGCTGCTGTCTAGGTCTGGAAGGGAAAGGCAAAGGGAAAGAAACTTACTGTCACATGTTTGGCCTTCACTTCCCTTTGGCTCCCATGGGCTCTGTGAGTAGCCCAGTCAGTTAGTTCCTGGGAGGTGGGCACACAGTCCTCTGCATCATCCTTACCAGACCTCGCCCACACCCCACAGCTTTGAACATGAAGTGAAAAATAGGTGTTGATTTTTGAAATTTAACAGGTGGACCCTGCAGTAAAACAGTAGCTCCTGGATTTACACATCAGGGAAAGTGTCCTAGTTAGTGATGTTCTGAATTCAGATTAGTGAAGATATTTACTTTCAGGTCCATCTAGCTGGAAGCAGAGGCCTCTTCTAGGATGTCGAATTCCAAGAATTTTGCGTGAAGACTACTCTATTCAGACTGAGTATGAATGTGTGGATGGAAACAAATGAACAAACAATAGGCCTTGAGGCCAATCAGAGCTGGGGTGGAGTCCAGGTGTGGTCTCCTTCCGGCTTTGGTGTAACCCAGCCCTAGGTCTGAGCCTCAGCCCTTGCTCCCCTGTGCCCTGCCCTGAGCTGCCTCTCAGGGGCAGGCTCGTCTGGGCTCAGAAAGAGGGACTGTTAGAAAGAGGGAGCTCCCAAGGGCGCTGCTTTTCCCTCTGAATGCCATCGGGTGTTGTCTAAGCGGAGCATGGTTTCCCTTTCCTTTCTGGCCTCTGCGTACTGAGGAACTGTCTTCTGTGTGTACTTTCTAACCCAGGGTTAGTCATATAGTTTATTTTGTCCTTTTGAGGAAGATCCCATAAAACTTTGTATAAAAGCTATTCCATTTTCTTTCTTTCTTTTGATTTCAAAAGTGTTTATTTCAGAGGAAAAAATAACAAAACTGTTCACTTTAAGAGGCTGCTTGGATGGAAAGCTTAGAAACTAGAAGGACTATAAAGGACACTGTGAGTGGAGGGCCTGGGGACTTGACCTGGGTCCATTTTCTAATTGAAGGAAATCTTGGGGTTTCACAAATTTATAAAAAGTAGGGGAAAGACCACACATAAAACCCCTTCCCTTCTTTTCAATTTCTGTTCTGCAAGAGGAAACAAAACCCAAGGAATTGAAGTAATCATGTTCTTCAAAACAGTAATGCAAGTCTCTTTGGGGAGAAGAAGAAGAAATCTTTGGATATCCATTCCAATTACTCAGGAAGCTTCTCAAAGTGTAGGGGGTGAGGCCATGCCTGGAGATTCTACTGTGACTGGTCTGGGGCGGGGCTTGCTGTCAGCAGTCTCTAAAGCTCTCCTGGTGATTCTAACAATCAGCCAGAGTCATGTGTAATTATCACGATTCCTGCAAGTGTTGGCTCATCTACCCAACAGAGAGGTGGGCTGGAGAGGTGATAGAAACACCCTTGTAGAAGTTAACATGACTTTAAACTGATTTAATGAAAATTACTCAGCTATAATCTGCAAGGCTTACGTGGGCACCCCAGGTCTGTGTGGGGGTCCTGACTATCTGCTGTCTCGTGCCGTGTGGACTGGGAGAGTTGGAACCCTGCCTGGTGGCAGAGTGTTTGGTAGTCCAGACATGCACTCCTCCAAGAGGAAACTCATCTTCCCTGACAGCACAGTTAATGTCCATCCCTGAAGCCCGAGAAGTGTTTCCAAACCCAGATATGATCCTGTCACTCTCCTGTTTAAAATTTCCAGCAGCTCTCCAAACTGCTCTCAGGATAAAACCCCAAATCCCTCCCCTGTCCTCCAGGGGTGGCACGGTCTGGCCCTGATTAGCACCCCCAGCCTCTTGTCCCCATGCCTGATATCACTGCTCCCAGGGTCACATCTCATGAACCCGTGGTCTGGTGGGGGGAGGATCCTCCAAACCCTTCAGAACTCTACTCAAACACTGTTTCTCCACACTTAGCCAGGCTCTGTCTTCTTTGTTTTCATAGCCCCTGTCACTGCTGACAATTGTGCATTTGCATGTATGGGCACCGATCACCTTGTTTGCACTGCACCCCTCCTGCTGGAAGCTACATTCCTCAGGCTCCCAGGCATGAGTGGGAGGCTGCTTCAGGCAGAGATTCTGAGCTCCTGCCAATCACTTACCCTTCCCACCCCCCAACCCTACTCGGTTCTTCCAACACCACCTGGCTTTGTCCCTGTAGCCCTGGAGTGGGAGTGACTGCTATTGCTGAGCTCTGCATTGCTTCCCCATCCTCTGTTGGATCTTCAGTTCTCTCAACATATCTGTAATTAGCTCCTTGTGTTAAATTCCTTCTGTTGGACTGCTGGCTTGGGCTCTAGTTCCCAGACTGAACCCTGACTGAGGCAGGGATTTATCTGGTTAGTCTGCCTCCTGCTGCTTGTGAGTAACTAACCAATGGCTTTTTAAAGAAACAAGCACCACAGCTGCTGAGTTGCTGCCCCTGCCAGGCTTGCAGCTCCCTACAGTTAAGGCTCTCTGCCCGCTGTCTCAAGCCTGGTCCCACAGCTGCTTAGCTCAAGTGTGACTCCACAAAGGAAGGAAATCAGCCCCAGTTCCAGGGACTGACACCACTGAGCATCAACCCCGCTGGCCCTCACCTGGCACTCACTGGCTAAGTTACCCTCTGCTTGGGAGTCTGCTCTGGTAACCCACTCTGACAGCCCCCCTCCCCACTCCCCCCATCCCTCCGCCCAGGAGTAGGGGCTTCCCGGGTTCTCATCAGCCCTGCCTGGGCCAATGGCCGAGGTCCTCCTACTTGCTGGCATCTCTGATGCCCCTGCCTGGATTCCTGACACAATGTCCCGTCAGGGACCTAGTTCCCACATTCTCACCCCCTGTTGGGATGTTCCCTTACTGCTGCCTGCCTGCTTTTGTCTGAATACACTCTGCTTGGGCCCGATACTCATCCTGAACCTGGAACAGTTGCCTGGCATGTGTCTGTGGGTCCATCTGTGGTAGGTGCCACCCTCATCCCCAGGTGCCACCCTCACCCCCACCCCCAGCCCAATTGGCTCCACCCACCCATCAGCGACCACACAGAGCATGGCCTGGGATGTCCGTGCATGTATGTAAATAGAAGGAGAGAAACCAGCCATGTGAGACACTTACGTACATGGTAACCTTGACCAAGGAGGTGACACTGCTGCTAAGGAAAGTAACTGTGATGCAGGTGTCCTTGTTTCTTGGCTCCTGCAAGTGAAACTCCACGAGGCTGTGATGCACTGAGAAACCAAAGCAGAGCAGACAACGGGGCCAGAGGTCAGTGGGAGCAATGCATGAAAAATCCCAGAGAGCAGCACAGCAGTGAGAAATCTCACTCTAACACTTAGCAGCTGTGTGACTGGACGCAGTTACCTCTTATCACAGGTTCTCAGCTTCCTCAAGTCTAAATTGTGTTCAGCAGCTCAGCTGTGTCCTACTCTTTGAGACCCCATGGACTGCAGCACACCAGGCTTCCCTGTCCTTCAGTCTCCTGGAGTTTGCTCAAATTCTTGTCCTTTGAGTCGGTGATGCTATCTTAACTATATCATCCTCTGTTGCCAAGTGTAAATTGGGATAACAAAATTACATAGCTCACAGTTCTGAATGAGAATTAAATGAGTGAATACATATAAAGTCCTTAGTGTCGGTGCCTAGGAATCATTCAATACATGATAGTTTTATTATTACTTGTAATCCAAGAATGTGCCTCTCCTCTCTGTTTGGCAACATTATCCTGATGGTGTGATTATGAAAACCAAACAGTGTCTATCTTATACTAAATAATTAACTCATAAAATACAGCATCGCCCCTCCCCGCTAGCATGCACACAGTGTCAGGGAATCCACCATGTGTGCAGGAGACGACTGTGGCCCTCCCTGGGGTGGCTGGGGGCCTGTGTGGCATCTCTGCCCTCTGGGGCAGCACTGAAACGGGCTCTCAAAGCTGGTATTGTCCGCACAGACTGGGTGAGCAGCCTGGTTCACGGTGATACCCCTGGGTCTGTGGTCCCTCTGTCAAGAGAGGTTAAGAAGGATTACAGCTTCCCCAACACCCTAGCCTTTCCTCAATAAGGGGTAAGCCCATCTGGTGGCACCTGGCTGGGACTTTGGTCTCTGAGCATTTTCACAGACTCCTTTGGTGGTTGGGACATAGCTAGAGAGGTAGTCCTTCACCTCTGCCCTATCTGTACTTTTTGATTTGTTATGTTTTATGGGTGAATATTGGGTGTAGGGACTAAGTGGATTTAGGGAGACAGCCCAAGCTGAAGTAATCATGTGACCCATATGGGCTCACAGGGTTAGCAACCGGACTCCTGCCGAGAACCCACAAGAAGACAGGAGAGCACTGCACTCTGCCCCTTCACAGAGAGGAACATCAGATGCCACGTCCTTCCTGTCTCTCTTTCTTGGTTGTTTACTGTGGATGCAGAGTGTTATGTTGACAGGCAAGGGCTGAACAAGAGTGTATAATCACAACGTGGAAAAAAATGTCTACCTTACATAGCTTTAGGAATCTAATTCTCTGTGCTGAGTTGGATATATCACTTTACCAGCAGGTATCACCGATCAAAACAGTTTCCATCAGATCAGGTTCTGCTGATCTCGTCTCTGATTACTCTGGAAGCCCTAGAAGGGCCAGGTCTGCTAACATTGGTGGATGGGAACTAGTAGTGAAATTCCTACCTGCTCTGGGCCTGACAAGGGCAACAGCACATGAGCCCTTGATGGTTTGCCAGGGGAACTGGATCCAAGGTGAGGCCCTGCTGCTTACCAGTTGTGATGTCCTGCCTAAGCCACCGAAACTCTCTGTGCCTCACTTCCTTCACGTAGAACCAATAACCCCCAACATCACCTCATAGTACACTGTGAGGAATGAGGTGATGGAGAGAAAACACTTTGGGTGAAATGTTGCTCTACAAGAGAAAAATAGTATTTTTGGAAAAATGATTTTTGGGGAGCAGATTCTCTGTCCATGCTGGCACCTGCCTGGCAGAAGCCAAGGGTGACAGCTGTCCTGGTGAGCAGTGCTGAGGCTGAGGCAAGTCAAGAGTGCTGGGGAGTGGGAGCTCAGTGCCACAGTGGCCTGGGAGCAGATGAGAGCGGGAGATGTTCAGGTGGGGTACCAGGTGGGCGACCCATACCCCACCACCAGGAGAGGAGGGGCCCAACTCTGATGCTCAGAATGGCAGGCTCAGGATGCAGGTCCCTCTGAGGTCTGTGAACAGACGTAACCACACTTCTGAGGGGATGGGGAGGGGATCTCACAACAAAGACGAAACAGAAAAGGTGTGGTCCAGTGAATTCCCCTCAGCAGGGATCCAAAAATGCCCTCAACCTTCAGGTGTGCCTCAGGCTCCTTGGCTGTCCAGACAGGGAGGAGACACCACAAAGCTGCCCTGGAGCTGGAAGTAGAAATGGGAAGTCGGTCCCGAAGCCCTGCCTCTGACCCAGACAAAGCATCCTGCCTCAGGCTGACCTCTGAGCGGTGGCAAGGACCCAAGAGTAACTGAGAAAAACGACTGATAAAAGCAGGTTCTCAGAAGAGGGGGCAGAGATACAAGTGTGGAGGAAAGTGATGATGGCGTGGAAAGGGTAAAGATTTTGAAGTCAGAAGACTGGAGTTGAATCCTGACTTCTTCACCCTCCCATGGAGCCTTGGGCACATCACCGCTCAGGGCTGGGTTGTCAGATGAGAGGATGGATGTGAAAAGCCCACAGCTGACCAACTTTATTCTTAAGAAGTAGCCAAGAGTTCTCTCTAATGAAGTTACAAACACCCCCATCTCGGCTCCCAAATTCTCCCATTGTCAGAGGGAAGGGAATTATTACTTACTGAATCCAGTCACTGTGCAGTGATTGCCTGTGTACTATGTATTTTATTTGATCCTCACAATTAATTCTTTGAAATAAGTACTATTTTCCACACAAGTGTGTAAAAGTTCAGAAAGGTTAAGGAACTTGCTCCTGATCACACAGCAGGTGAACAGAGAATCCTAGAGCAAGTCAGGTTTGGGTGACCACTGAGCCTGAACTTCAGGCCCTCTACTACTGGGAAGGTATGGCCACAAAGATCCCTCCAACAACCAGCCAGACACCAGTGATCAAAAAATAATTTAGAATTAGGGTGGTCATATAATTTCCCATCCAAACCAGCATACTTCTATTCTGAACACACAATAAAGCAGACAAGACCCCAGGATAAAAAAAAAAATTAGAAAGTATAGTCAACCTAGATAAGATGCAAATGCCATAGAAAGGAGGATGGTTCAGCTCTTAATTTAATGTTATAGATTCTAAGATACCCTTTTCTCTCTCACATTAATCATCATTCACGATCACCGGCATCTTAGCTTCAATGAAATGCAGTGGTTAGGAGTCACAGTAAACAGAAATATATATGTGAAGGTTCAGTATTCCTCATGAACCCTGACGTAGGAGGACTGCTAGAGTGGAGACACACAGGGTGGGCAATGAGGAGGGGGAAATGTATGCAGGAAGAAGAAATCCAAAAGGTTCTCCCAAATACCACCCTAGAGAGAGAGCCCACACTGGAGGGCAGGATTCCATGATGGGGTGGGAGGAATGAAGGTCAGTATACTGACCAAAAGATAAGATGCCCCCAGGTTCTTATCCATAGAGCAATGGTTTAGGCTGGCTCTGAAAAGTTTGGGTTCTATCTAAGCCCAGGAGATGCTGCCCTACACCTCTCACTTTCCACGACCTTTTTGCCCCAGTTCTTCACCTCCCACTTTGGCTACCATTCTGGGCTGGACACAGCCTAAGTTGGAGCCCTGGACTCAGCAGGTCAGCACACTGGCAGAGTTAAGCAGGGTGTTCCTCCCCACTCACCACAATACGGAGCCATGGAAGTGGTCATCAGGTAGACCTTCACCTCCTTGGGAAGTGGCTCTATCTTGACACCACCTTGTTCTACCAGCCCTGGAGATAAAGAAGAAAAGACAGCAGGGCCCTGAGGAGGCCATTTCAGGGTTCAGTGGTACCCAGCCTTTCAGTGATTAATTCATGCACCTGTTCATTCTACAAACAACTGTGTGAGTCCTGGGGTACAGCAACTCCATCCAGACAAGGATAAACACACAAGTAGACAGCAAATACAGATTATCTGGTCCACTCCCGGGGGTATTTATATGAAATTATGAAATGATGTCTCCAACTTGCCAAAGAATCTATATGACAGTTCTTTTAGTGGTATTTGTATCCTGTGCATTGGAGCACAGAAAGTGTTTGAGCTGAAGAATAATGGTTGACAAGTTGGAGAAGGGCTTTCCAAGCAGAAAGTAAAGTCTGGGCAAAGGGATATTGGGTGAGGAAACATGAAAAATATTCTTGGAAGTATGAGTAATTAGCATCCCTGAGGTGTTTAGAAAAAAAGGAAAATCCCGTGGGAGATGAGGCTGAGCAGAGAGTGTAAAGTGGTTGTTAACCATCTGGTCCATCACACGTGTGGGAAACAGTAGCATATGCCTGATGAGCAGAAAGTAATGTTGTTTTGCTTTATTATGGGAAACCACACCTACTTTAACATTTTGTCAAGCTGATATTCATTTCATTCATATAAGCAATGACAGGCTGCTGCAGTTCTGAGTGGCAGCTGGTGGGTGGGAAGTGGGAGAGTGAAGGAGGGGGAGGAATCACACATTACCCAGGAGTTTTTCCTGGGAACGCTTCAGGCTGGATAACCCCAGGATATTCACAACAATGATCTGCACAGGGTGAGCTGAGGCTGGATCCCTCAGCCTTCCCGAGCCATTCTCTCCAGACTAGCCGGGATCCTCCAGGGATGTGTCCAGGTCAATCAGCAATTAAGAACCCCTCCAGCTGGCACGTGGCCTCACACCCCTAAGGCAGGCAATGTGTGCCAGTCTTAGGGATTTCCCCACAGCACTTTGATTTCAAGCCTATCAGGAACTGGAGAACGGCTGGCCTAGCACGGAAGACCATGGTGCACAAAGACTATGGTGTGCATCAGGTCCAAGAGTGGGTGCGGGGAATCTGGACCACACTGATGCTTCTGGAGAGGATCCTGAGGTAGACTTGTGGGTCAGGGTCTATGTGTGTGTGAAGGGTGTGCACAGAGTGCATACGGCATCAGGAAGCAGTATTGGGGGTGTGTGGGACACAGAAAGCTAAAGGCCACCTTCTAGGTGAGAACACCTTCTAGCTGAATTTTGAACATTACTTAAATTTTCTTTACCCAACCTGAATAGACTTTTTGACCATAGGAGATCAGGACTTGAAGAGGTGACAAGGCTTGAACTTTCCCCAAGTTGTCAGAGGGAGTCAAAGGAGGAGTATTTACCGATTCTTGGACAGGAAAGAAGAAAAGGGTTGAAACAATCCAGACACTGTCCAGCAAGGAAGTCCTTGTAGTTTGTGCAAGGGAAGGCCATCAGTGGACAGGAGTTCTCCAGAGCGCTGATGTAGAGGTGTACAGCCCTCATGTGATCACAGATCAGATAACTGTAGCCTGAACAAGGCCAAAAGACACAACCAAGTTTCAGTTCAAGACACATGGAAACTCCCTCCATGCTACTTACTGTCACTCTATTGAACGTTATAGTCCAACAGGCTATAAATACATGGGATATCCCCCTGAGCCACATTTTTGAAATATTGATGAACATGGTTACTATACTCTCATTTTTCTTTTTAATTTTTTTTGAAGTGATTCCTTTTTTTTTTTAATTTTTCTTTTAACTAAGCTTAATTTACCAATAAAATTGCTTATTTAGAGACCCATTCTTCCATGATCATGCAGATTCTCTTTTGGAAAATGGGAGCATGTGAAGAGTTGGTGATCCTGACCCTACTTCTCAAAATATTGGTCTGCACATTTTTGCCTTCTTCAGCATCACCCACACAACCAATTGTATTCAACCTCATTAAACCCAATCCAACAAAGAGACAATCAAGGGAGTCAGCAGCAGCTCATGGTCCATCTATGAAAGCCAATGTACTGAGGTTCACCTCACCCAATGACTGACACTGAATCTGCCAAATGTCCTAACACAACAAACACTTGGTTTCTTGTTATTGTTGTTGTTGACTATTTTAAAATTTGTGATAATTCATACTGAATGAATTTGCTGGGGCTAAGAGGTCTATAGTGAGCCATAACTCCAGCATGTAAGGTCTTCATACTCTCCCTTCACCTTGGGACCCCCTCACTGGGACCAGAACCAAGTATGAGCTATGTGTGGATTTTCCTTTCCCCCATAGTTGGAACACTGTCTATGGCCAACCCCCTTCTAGCTACAACAAGGAGATGGAAGACACAAACTAAACCCTTCTCAAGTTGTGTTATGAAGAAAAAAATGGAAAGTGACCAAATAAAATGCCAAAAAAATTTTCAAAAGCCATTAAAACCAAACCAATCTGATTAGAATTGCTGAAAAAATTAAGAATTATTAAAAGAAACATGATTTGGAAAATCAGTGAATTTGATAAGTTGGATTAGTGGTTACTCAACACAATTGTCAAAAGAATCTTTATTTTATTTTTTTAATTAATTAATTAATTAATTAATTTTTCCATTTATTTTTATTAGTTGGAGGCTAATTACTTTACATCATTGCAGTGGTTTTTGTCATACATTGAAATGAATTAGCCATGGATTTACATGTATTCCCCATCCCGGTCCCCCCTCCCACCTCCCTCTCCACCCGATCCCTCTGGGTCTTCCCAGTGCACCAGGCCCGAGCACTTGTCTCATGCACCCAACCTGGGCTGGTGATCTGTTTCACCCTAGATAATATACATGTTTCGATGCTGTTCTCTTGAAACATCCCACCCTCGCCTTCTCCCAGAGTCCACAAGTCTGTTCTATACATCTGAGTCTCTTTTTCTGTTTTGCATATAGGGTTATCATTACCATCTTTCTAAATTTGGTAAAGAAGGAAAAGGTTAAAAAAACAGTATTCAGAAATCAAAACTCCCATATGAAATGTTGATAGGTTAGCTGCATTCATGAGAAGAATATAAGAAGACTAAACCACCCTTAATGCTTAGCTTTTGATAAATTTAAAACTGTTTAAAATTATGCTAAGAACATAAACAATATATCCAAAAAGAGTATCCAGAAGAGTAAATTTAGAAGAGAAGATAGGTATATTCATTGACTGTATTCAAGAAGATTATCTTGAAAGCAATTTTGGAGAACTTAAATTTAATTAGTTTGGGGAAATGGTTGTGCAGTGAATTGAACCTTCAGCTAGCTAGCTTTGGGTGCAACAGCCTGGTTCTGACACAACACAGCACTGCAAAGGATGTAACTAGTGTGGACTGCCACAATGTGGGGCCTAGGAAGAAGAGAGGTTATTGGCTTGAGTGATGGTGGATGACGGTAGGGCCTAAGACGTAGGGAGGGAACCTAAATATGGAGCAATCTTAATTTCAGGCAGTCCTCCCCTAGAATTCCTTGTCTCCACAGACATCCATTCAATAAGCGCTGAGTAAGCTCGATGGGACATAGCAAAGGACGCTGTCAGGAAGACTCCTGTGGCTCACACTAGCTGACTCAACATGAAACCTGTTGATAAAGTCCAGTCTCTGGAGCAGCCAAACACTGAGTATTTCTGGCTTTCTGACCTGCATAAATGGAAGTGGGACAGCCAGGCTGGTCTTGGCCTCCATTGATGAAGTAGTCCACGTGTCCGACAGGAATCCGAATGCCCAAATCTGCAAGAAGGCAGAACCTTGTTACCCTCTTCCTTCAGGGGCCATTTTCCAGGTCCCCATAGCAGGATCTACTGGCCACAGAGCCTGAAGTCTGACCCTGGGCACCCACCCCTTCTCTGTGCTGAATGGGGACCCACTTATTCCTAAATGTTAGAAGATGACAGAACTAACTAGCCGTTAGATGGTTTTCTAAGAGGTTTTGTCATGCTGAAAGGAAGCTAAGAATAAATTCTTAAGAAGATATTCATATTTGCCTAATAAAATCAAGAAAAATATCCCTTGAGTTTTTAATGAATCAGTAAATGTTATAATAAGCTTGGTAAATTTCCTTGTTGAATAGTTTCTATTTTACTCTAAGTGACAGTTCAGATATATATGTGAGACCACATTTCCAGTCTCTTACATGCTTTTGAGCTTCTATGACTAAGAATAAATATAATCTGACTACAAAGAGATGAGTTTGTGAGGTAGTAGCCTTTATCCCATCAGTGTGATGATATCTGACCCCTCAAGATCAGTTCAATTCAGCTGCCAAAAATCATGACTTTCTCCTTCATATTATCTGTCACAATTGTAAGCAGTGGAGTGTGTGTTACCAGTTTAACGTCATCTATCCAGGGTTTAAGTGATGACCTAGAATGCCTCCTTGCCCATCATCTGTCAGGTCAGTTCTACCTCCATAATATATTTTGAATCCTTCTGCTTCTCTCCATCTCTACTCCCACCACCTTTGCTTCAGCCAATATTGCCCCCTCATCCAGGCAAACATCCAGACACCACTGCAAACACTGCCCAAAGGGCCTTCCTTTACTGCCCACCTAAAGTCCATGCTCTGCCCAGCAGAGTCATCTTTTAAAGGAATCCAAATCGCTGCCCTATTCTCCTTGATCATAGAATAAGATGTAAACCCCCTGCCATGTCCAGTCTGGTCCTGCTCCACTTTCTCATCACATCACTCGCTGCGTGCTAACTACATGGTTCTTCTTCCTGCCCTCACCCACCATAAGGCTTTCATTCTGGCTATCCTTCCCATCTATAATGGTCTTCTCCCAGCTCTTTCCAGTGCTGGCTCATTCTCATCCATGAAATCTCACATCAGACATCACCTCCTTGGACAGATTTTCCTCAATAATCCTATCTGAGGTAGACCCCGCACCCCCTGACAAGTCACATACGCTCCTCCCATATCCCTTATTATCATAATCAGGAGGTAGAATTATCTTGTCTGTTGACTTGTATGTAAGCTCCATTAAGGCAGGGCCTTTACCCATCTTCTCCCTGCTCTATGGTACCTAGCTTATGTTAGTACCAAATACTTATTTATTGAACAAATCAGGGACAAATGCTTTCCCTGTTAGCCTGCAAGTCCCACATGGTGCCCTGTGCACTGCAGTATTCTTAGTGCCTGCTACATAGATCAGTCAAGACTAACTGAATAAATGGAAGTTATTTTTTTATCATAAAAAGAAAAACTTTTTCTTTTATCATATTAGGTAGTGGCTACAACTTTGAAGGGGACTGAGAGGCCTAGGACAAATAAATAGGGACCAATGGGTCACCTATTTAGCAAATTTAGGAACATAAAAGGTTAACATTGTTAATTAACATGGTTAATTAACTTAATAACTAAGCAGAGGGCTATGGACTTTGTTTTCTTACCTGTGAAATGGAGGTGGAAAAGAGGATTGAGTTATATGACTACATGAACTTCTTCCAGAATCATGAATCTGTGAGTTTTGGATGCTAAAAAAGCTTCTAGCCAAATGGAATGAGACATGGCTGTCTCTCAGTTGAACGGCAAACTCTCGTGGTCAGAGACAGATGTAATTTCTTCTGGTACCCAACACACTGAGCACAGGCCCTGGCACTAGACTCTGGGCATCTGACATTGAGTAGGAATGAGGAGGAGTGTCTGCTGGTTATGATGGATTCAGAATTGGGGGTTCTTGCCTGTGCCTGTCATTATTGGAGGCGGCAGTTCTCATTCTTCACCCAACTGAGGGCTGGCCTCATCTCTTGGGAAGGAGAGAAGTTCTGACAGGCCCGAGCATCTGCCCCAGAAGTGGAATGCCCCAGTGTCCCGGGGCAAGGCATGTTCACCCTGAAAAAACAGCCTGACTTTCCCGTGTACCTGCCAGGCAGAAGTGCCCTCCAAACACTACCTCAGAAGAGGCTTAGAGTTGAATCAGAGTGAGACTCATGACCAAACAGTTTTGGTCCACAAATGAGAATCCTTCTGTCTCATGCTGGCTAAAAATAAAATCATTCATCTCAGTCCCAGAGCAAGATAGGGCTGGAAGAGACTTTCGAGATCATGCTGGTAAACTCTTCACTGCAACAGAAGCTCACAGTGGAAGGGTCTCCTCCTAGGGCCACTCCTAGCCTCTGCCCTGTGCTCATTGCCCCGCCACCCCCCCACCCCAGCTCACTGTCTGTGTCTGTGTGGATGGCTTCCACGAAGAGGGCATCCCCAGGGTCCAGACGCTCCTCCAGGCTGGCTCTGGTGTACTCCGGTCCAGCAGGGTCCAGGCCTGCAAGGACAGACATGTCAGGGGCCCTGTCATCTCAGACACAAGAACTCTCATGGATCCACTGCACACCTACACGGGCAACCCTTATAGTTCAGATCAGAATCCCCCAACAAGGACCCAAGGGTGAGAGAACTAGCTCAGGACCACCTTTCCCAGGAAACCCTACTCTGTTGAGTAGAGAGAACTCTAACTTCTTCATGACCCAGTTCCTCTGGCTCTGAAATGAACTTGCTAACCCCGACCATTTGGTAAGGGTTAATGTCAGTAATATTCATCCTCATGTAGTAATAACAATGGCTATAATGTTTTGAGTAGTTACTATGTGCCAGGCCTTGTGCTGGGCAACTTCACACATTCTAGTCCTTATAACAACGTGTGTGTGCATGCTAAGATGCTTCTGTTGTGTCCAACTTATTGTGATCCCATGGACTGTAGCCTACCAGGCTCCTCTGTCCATGGGATTCTCCAGGCAAGGATACTAGAGTGAGTTGCCATGCCCTCCTCCAAAGTCATCTTCCTGATCCAGGAATCTAACCCACATCTCTTATATCTCCTGCATTGGCAGGAGGGTTCTTTACCGCCTGGGAAGCCCCTTTACAACGATAGAGTGAAGTAAATATTACTCTCTCCCAGCCTTACCTTGGATCCCTCCCTATTCCACCCAAAAAGCAGACTGTGAGACAAGTATGTAAAGTGCAAGTAGCTTATTTGGGAGAAAATCACCGAAAGCATGGACTTCCCAGCTGGTGCTAGTGGTAAAGAACTGCCTGTAAATGCAGGAGACATAAAAGTCACAGGTTCGATCCCTGGATAGGGAAGGTCTCATGGAGAAGGGAAAGGCAACCCACTCCAGTATTCTTGCTGGGATAATCCCATGGACAGAGGAGTCTGGCGGGCTACAGTCCATGGGGTCGCAAAGAGTCGGACATGACTGAAGCCACTTAGCATGCACGCACAGAAAGTATCATGAGGAAGTGGAAAAAAGTCAGAGAATGAAAGACAATTTTAATGACTAGACTATCACTTTGGGTCTCATCCCACTGGGGTCCCCCCTGCAGGACTCTGCAAAACACAACTCAGAACTATCCCACTGAAGTGCCAGGCAGCCAGAGTATTTACCACACAGCTCTGGCTCCTTACTGGTTGAGGGTAGTTCCTGAAGCACAAAATTCCCAGCACTGTGCAAGTATTTAGAAAAATTGTGTAAAGGTGATTTCCACAGTGGGCCAAGGAGATAGGAGCTGTTACAACCCATTTTAGAGTTGTAGAAATTGAGGCTCAGAAAGAAATAGATGGCCTCTAACACTGACACTAGAGATCATGAAATAACAACACAATACCATCTTATCCAAAAGGGCCACAATAGGTAAATTTTAGTGGTGATCAATGACTTGATCATAAGAACAAAGGCCCAACACACTTCCCTCTGCCTGCCTTAGCAAACGCTCTTCCAGGCATGTTCTCTCTCTCTCTAAACCTGAGCGAATGGGCAGGGAAGAATGTTACCTGTGATCCGTCCCAGCTGGCCATTGTAGAAATGTCCTACCATGCCCCCTACATGGGCCCCCAGGCTGATGCCAATGATGTGGATTGAGGACTCTGACACACCCAGCGCCTAGAACAGTCATTTACAGTGAGTTACATTTGGGCCACCCCAGCCCCTGACCTTACAAGGGTAACAATTTTCTCTGAGGCATCAGAAGCAGAGGGTCTTGGGCACAACATACCAGCCACACATGCTTTGGGGAGAAAGTTAATCACTTGCCCTCTCCCTGGGCTCCCCACCTGGACAACCCATTCACTTTCCTTTTGGTGCCCAAGGTGTGTGAGGCATGACCACAGCCATTTCCTCCTGAAAGCATAGAAGGGCCAGCTATCAGCACCTCCGATGTAACATGTAGTGGTGCGTCTTACAGAGGAGCAGCAAGAGGCTCAGAGAGGTTCAAAACTCCGCCTGAGGTCAGCACAGTAAGTGGTAAAGGTGAGACCTGAATCAAAGACCCACAGACTACCAGTGGCTCTGCTTCCTCCCTAAAGCTCCTCCTCACATGTTATTTCTTTCTTTCTGAGTGCTCACTCCCCCACAAGCAGCCAGAGCTCACCCTAAGCTCTTCTACACCTACCAGGAGTTTACGGAGGAAACGGGAGATCTCGAGTCCCAGCTTAATCACATTTTCCACGGCTGAGAAATAGGCAGCTGTGGAGCCATACACCCAGTCCACAGCAATCACGTTAGCATCTGTTGCCCGCAGAAGGGCACCGATGAATCTATCAATCCAGGAAGGCTTCGTTCCTAAAGCCCTAGATGTGGGGCCAAGAAAGGATAGGAAAATTATCTTCCCAGTCAGTATTCATCGTCATGGAAATTACAATGACATTTCTATAAACAGAACAAATCTAGAGGAAAACAGTCACGTGTGTGTGTGTGTGTGTGTGTGTGTGTGTGTGTGTGGTGGGGGGTGGAGGGGAGTATGAGCACTAAATCCTACAGTGCTTTGAGCATAAGGAGGACATAATCCTGAAGTTAGCAGGGTTCCTGCTTGCACATGTGGAGCCTGTGGATAAATTGTAAAGAGGTACCTTTGTTCCAGGTGGATGTAGCCTTGGGCCAGGGCTCAGAGCTCAGGTCAGAGTTCAGCCCCACTGGCCCTCAGTCAGGTACCTTTGTGCAATGCAAAAATCACATGGACCACATGTGCTGACCCTGCTTGTGTTACTCGTGGAAAAGAAAAGATAGCTTTGTGTGTTAGAGTTCAAGATTTGCAATCTTAATTCTCACTCTGTAACACAGACACCTTCCTTAGGGGTGTTTCCATTTACTTGTCCATGCATTCACCCTTCATGCAACAAACGGGCCAGGCGATGTGCTAGGTGCTTTCTGAGAAATAAAGAAAAATGAGATATATTCTTTATTATTCTAGAACTTAGAATATAATAAGACTTTTCTAGGAAAAGAAGAAGAGGAAAAATTTCAGAAAGCTTTCCTAAGAGGTTAGGAATGGGAAAGAAGTCTTCTTCTCCATGGCACAGAGCTGGCTCATGTGGACAGAGGAGCCCAGCCCCGGTGTATGCCAGGGAATGTGGCCTGGGGGGCATCTGGAACGACAGCATAGCAAGGCTTCAGAGCTCTCCACTCCATCAGCTATCTCCGGTCGCAGGTGTCTCTGGTTGAGCCTCGGATGGTGGCTGAATGCAGAATTTGCCAGAGGAGAGACTTAGGCTCAAGAGTGGGAAGGAAAGCCTAAGGGAGGATGTGACTGGGACCCTGGGGTCAGGGGTTTGAGAGGCAGGGAGAACCCAGCCAGAGATGAGGAAGCAATTATCCTTTGTGCAGTGCCTCACTGTCCACCTCTTCATTGGGTCCCCTCCCCCCGCCCAGTTTCAGTTGTTCTAGCTACTGTTTCACCATATTCTCTCCCTTTCTCTTCCCAGCAACTTTTTACTGTTTTTGGCATTGTCAGTGAATTTTGGAGAGAAGATGTTGGAAGGAATGGTGGTGATTGACTTGGGACTCAGAGACTATATATTACAAAAGTTGGACTGTGGATCATCAAAGAAATTGAAGAAGTGTGTAGTGCCTGAGAAACACTAATCTCTGGGAATGATGGAAGTAGAAGTTTCTTAGGTTGTGAAACCCAGGTAGAAGTGAAGAAGAGGAAATAAAACCCTGGATAAAAACACCATGATGTTACCCCTGAGCAACTGCACAAAGCCTGTGACCTTGCTGGCTGAAATGAATCATGCAACCCATACTTGAGGGAGGAAATGATCACTGAGACCATTTTTACAACCTCCCTTTTACTCAGACATGGAAATCGAGGCTCCATGTGCTACTTATCCAGGGTCATTCATATTTACTGTTTGAGAGTATAAAGATGAGACTTAGCAGAGGAGTAACATATGTGACCAATAAGAAAGAGCAACACAGTGTGTGTTCATGTTGCTATGAGACCTCTTCAAGACCAGCAGAAGGTAAGCAAGGGGACCTGTGACAGGCAGTGAATCCATTTCTCCTCTTGCTCCCCACTAACTTCCTGTGGCATGAGGGTCATTTTCTAGTTCCTAGTGGAGATGATCCTATTGGTTGGTTGGCTCCCACCTGAATCCATGGATAACTAGCTTGGTTCCTAGAGTGCCATTGAACCCAGAGTTTTGGATGTCACTACTTTCTTCCACTAGCTGCCCACAGCTGGGATCCGAAGGAGTGAAGAGGAGAAACTGGACTTTGAGATTGGTGCCTCGGAGGAGATTGGCATTCTGGAAGTCAGCACAATTCGTCTGTGGGGTAGGAGGTGCATCCCCTAGAAGAAAAAACAAATAAAACCCAAGAAACTTCAAAGGCGAGGTCATCTGTTCTTAAAAAGAAGAAAAGTGCTTTTGAAAGGAAGAAAGAAAGAAATGGGTTTACAGGGATTGATCTTAAATCAGCAAGTGTAATAATGGCTCATTTATTAAAGGCATCACTTCTATAACCAAAATCTGTGACTATTTTTCATGTATAAAGATAAGATACCAGAGAAGAATAAAATATTGCTCAATTAGAGAAGATTAAAGGCCATGGTGAAACGGATATTGTCATGGGCTAAATTGAGTCCCCTTTTCCCCATAAATTCATGTGCTGAATTAACTAATCCTTAAAACCTCAGAATGTGACTGTATTTGGAGACAGAGTCCCTACAGAGGTAATTACACTGAAATGAAGCCATTGCGTGTGTGCTCAGTCATGTCCAACTCTTTTGCAACCCCATGGACTGTAGTTCGCCAGGCTCCTCTGTCCATGGAATTTCCAGGCAAGAATACTGGAGTGGGCTGTCATTTCCTTCTCCAAGGAATCTTCCTGACCCAGGGATGGAACTGGTGTCTCCTGCCAGGTAGATTCTTTACCACTGAGCCACCTGAGAAGGCCATGAAACCAATAGGGTGGACCCTTATCTGATACAACTGATGTCCTTAGATGAAGAGGCAATTTGGTCACAAAGAAGAAAGATGACGTGAAGACATGTGGAGTAGATAGCCATCTCTAAGCCAATGAGAGAGGCCTGGAATGGATCCTTCACTCAGAACCCTCAGGAGGAACAAACCCTACCACCACCTTAATCTCAGACTTGCAGCCTCCAGAAGTGTGAGAGGATAAACTTCTGTTGTTTAAGCGACCCATCTTGGGCACTTACTTTTTTCCCTCTGAGCCACCGGGGAAGTCCTTTCTTACAACAGTCCTGGCTAAATAATACAGTTTTCTGAAAAGAAACCTGGGCTATAAAATAAGCAGTTGCCCTGGGGATTAGGCTCATTCTGGTCTGTTCATCCCATCCCAGAGTGATCACTTCTCACTAATCACATTTTGTCCTTGTGATTAAGTGACAGTCCAGAGCCACTCCAGAGCCTGCAGTGCCCAGCACATGGCTGCCCCAATGACAGAGAAGGCATTTAATGAGCTATATGTATTCGATAGTGCCTTCCAACAGATACCTTTAAATAGGATATTTTATAGTCAAGGTCACTGAAGGGCCTTCTACAGTACTGAACCGAAATGGCAGCATACTGTAACTCCTGCATCCCAGGGAGCTGAAAATCTGGCAGCCCCCTGTCATGCTTGTGATAAAGATGGGGGCCTCTAACACCCAGCTGTCTTACAGATACAGACTGGCAGGAGCTGCAGTGCATACACTGAGCGCCCACAGGGCCCCAATCCTGGTGCTGTTAGCAGTGACCTCGCATTCCTACCACAGGACAAAGCCATTTGCAACATGAGAAGACAGGTTTAGATTGCAAACTGATTTGCATAGCCCTCTTCACAAGGAATACAGCTCTCTCAGGTTTCTGGAATAGTTCTCTGCCTTCAGAGGTAAGTGGGGAGCAGGTACAGAAGGCCTGTGGATCTGCAGTGCACTGGGCCATAGTGCTGTGAGCGCCCCACCCTTGCAGCACGCCAACAGTGGTTTCCTCACCTCTGCATCTGAGCCCCAGCCCGGTTCCCCAGTCCTCTTGCATCTCCCTCCTCACCAGCCAGATCTCAGACACTCCTGCAATGAAGCCCACTCTGACAGTGCAGGCCCCCAGGCTTCCCAGCCTGTGGCAACTTGTGCCTGCTCCCATGACCCAAGATAGACTTGTCATGACTTGACCACCTCATCTGCCTCCCCCAACTTTTCGAAGAAAAGATGAAAAGCCTCTATCTGAACAGGAGACCTGAACCACATACATGACTACATTGCTTTATTGGTCATGTAGTAAACATAGTTTGTCACAGAGCAAGGTCCAACAATCATCATAGAATCAATATATTCCAGACAATGTTATCTAAATAAGCAATAATAAAAATTAGAAATCAATAACAAAATTATTTAAAGATACATTTAGAGATTTTTTAAGTTTAATTCCCTTTTAAGTAATGAATGAGTTGAATAATCACAATATAAATTAGATAATATTAAAAACTAATGACAATAAAACCAATACAATATCAAAACTTGAGTTAAAGTAGCTAAAACAGTACTAGACTGATAGCTATTAATATAACCTTAAATGCAAATATGAGGGGGAAATAGGGAAAGATACAACTCACGTAAGTTAATCTTGTAAGTCAGAAAATTGAGAAAGAATACTACAGCAATTCCAAATAAAATGTAGGGAAATAAATACAAAGGAAGTAATTAAAATTAAAGAAAACAATGAATATGAATGTCATCAGGAGCAATTCAGCCTATGCAGTTGCTCAGGTCCACCTTCCTGGAGAGATCTTTGACACTTTGCTTTCTCCCACCCCCAGACAAATGGTAAGTAAATCCTCAGAACAAAATGTTCAGAATTAAACCATTTTCACTACCTAGACTGGTACCACTTTGGTCTAAACCACCATCATATCTCAAAATTATGTGGCCTGCAATGCTTTTTCTGCCTTTATCCTCTTCAGCCTATTTGTAGCATAGTAGCTAGAAAAGTAAATCAAATCATGTCACATCTCTGTGCAAAAGCCACCAAGGCATTTCACTCAGAATAAAATCCAAAGTCCTAACAGTAGAAGAAAGCCCTAAATATCTAGACCATCCTCCTGAGGAGCCTTCTCCTGCTCCACTATTGCCTCCTCTGTTCCAGCCACTGTCCTCCTATCTCTTCCCCACTCTAAATAGGTTCCTGTTGGAGGTTCTGTGTGCTGGGCATTCCTTATGCCTGGCATGTCTTTCTCCAGACATCCACGTGGCTAATTTCCACTTCTGCTTTAAGTCTTTGCTTGTCAAATGTCATCTCCTTTCCTCTAACCCCCATTTAAATTGCCATCGGCCTGTGTGCCTGAAACCAATGGCTCAGCTGGTAGAGAATCTGTCTACATACAGGAGACACAGGAGACGCAAGTGCAAGCCCTGGGTCAGAAAGATCCCCTGGAGGAGGAAATTGCAACCCAGTCCAGTGTTCTTGACTGAAAAATCCCATGTACAGAGGAGCTTGGTGGGCTGCAGTCCATGGGGTCACAAAGAGTCAGACATGACTGAATACAACACACAAACTAAGTGCCTCATCTCCATTCTCTGAATCTTTCTTTATCCTGATTTATTTTTATAACAATTATCACCTAATCAAGTTTTTATTTACCAGTTTATTATTAAATGTATTGTTTATTAATTTTCCCACATTAGAAGATATGTTCAAAGAAGGAAGGGATTTTATCCATTTTGTTCACTCTACTGCCTAGAATAGTACTTGCCACACATAATAAATACCAGAAAGTAGCTCTTTGAACAGGATAATAAACTAGATGTACTTAAAAAATACAAGATGTACTTTTGATGCTGCTGCTGCTAAGTCGCCTCAGTCGTGTCCGACTCCGTGCGACCCCATAGACAGCAGCCCACCAGGCTCCTCTGTGCCTGGGATTCTCCAGGCAAGAATATTGGAGTGGGTTGCCATTTCCTTCTCCAAAGTATGCATGCATGCTAAGTTGCTTCAGTCGTGTCTGACTCTGTGCGACCCCATAGACGGCAGCCCACCAGGCTCCTCCATCCACAGGACTCTCTGTAAGAGAGACTAAAAAGAGGGAAGTCACAAATAAACAATACAGGGAATTAAAAGGGGATGTAAACACAATAAAATTTTTTAGACCACAAAGAAGCATATTTATACCCATCCAACAGTTTAAAAATACAGATGTTTTCCTAAATTGATAATTTCCTAGAAAAATAGGTTACTAAAACTTAGTCAAGAAAGAAAAAACAGAAAATCAAATCTAAAGCTGTAGCATAAAGGAACTGAAACAGTAGTTTTAAATCTATTCATCAAAAAACTGTATCAGGACAGATTTCACACAGAAATTCTACCAACAGGTCAATTCCTATCTTACTATTTTAGAGAATAGAAAAGGGGAGAAAGAATCCAAACTCATTCTATCAAAATAGCCAAAATGTCAAAACTGGACAAATAAAGAAGGAGAAAGGAAAACTAAAGGCCAGTTTCACTATTATACATAGACATAAAAACCCTAGATAAAATATCAAATCCTTCAAGGGTAATAAGAACTAAAAATACATCATGGCCAAGCAGGGTTTAGTCTAAGAAATGAAAAGATGGCTTAACATTAGAAAATATATTAATGTAATTCACATGTGAACACATTAAAGAAAAAAATAACATATGCTCAACTCAATAGATGTAGGGGGGAAAATGATAAAATTCAGTACCCAATACTCCTTAACATAAGAAAGAAAGGCTATCTACCAAAAGCCTATAGCAACGATTATACTCACTGGTGAGATGTTGGAAGCATTCCATTTGGAACTGGGAACATAAAAATGTAAGCTATCAGTGCTTCTATTTAATATTGGACTGGGAGTTCTAGTCCTAGCTAGTAAAACAAGATAATAAAACAAGATAATAAAATAGGATAAAAGTTATGATGTTTGAAAAAGGGGAGAAAAATTGCCAATATTTGCAGGTGATAGAATGAAACTGTCCAGGGACTTCCCTGGTGGTCCAGTGGCTAAGACTCCACACTCCCAATGCAGGGGGCTGGGTTCAATCCCTGGTGTGGGAACCCCACATGTCACAATTAAGAGTTCACATGCCACAACTGAGACTCAGCATGGTGAAAGAAATAAATAAAAATAATTTTGTTTTAAAGAATAAAACTGTCCATCATTCAAGACTATGGAGCATGGCCCCATGAATCATGCTCAGATACCCTCTTCCTGCATGCACCACTTCAACCAAAGTGTAGCCACAGATGAATACCCAAAAGGACAGAGAGAAAGAGACATAGACACTCTCAAATGTAAAAATAATACCTCCATGAACAAGAACAGAACTGCAAAATGGTTCTGGGTTTCAGGTCTGGGAGAAGGCAATGTTTGTTAGAATTCAGGTTTGCGGGGTTTGAGGGGTCCAAAGTGCTCTGTCAGGTGTCAGGAAGACCCATCGGTAGCCAGTAATGGAGAGAAGGACTCCCCAGCTCAGGACAGGAAACTAAAAACAACACACACAGAAACTTTCTACTGGGGCAACGGCTTTATTGAGGAAGATGAAATGGAAAGACAAAGCCTCACTAACAGAAGCTGAAACAACCTCCACTCTCTGAAGAAGAGAAGGCAAAGATGGGAGCTCGGGAAGGAAGACACAGAGACGAAGAGAGACTGAAAATTAAAATGAAACTAATCTATTGTGTTAGAAGTCAAAGTAATAGTTACTTTTGGAGCAGTTGTGATTAAGATGGGATACGGGGAATGGGTTTTAAGAAACTGGTGATGTTTTCTTTCTTGATCTGGATGATCACTCTAAAAACTCATTAATATGTGTATTAATAATATGTGTACTTTTCTGTATATATGTTGTACTTCAATAATAAATTTATTTTTAAAAAAGCTTGCAAACAAATATATAAAGAAATCAAACATTTACAAAGATTGTCAATGAGTGAATCATTGATTCATTCCAGGTGAAATAAAGTTTAAAAAATTGTTGACAAAGGTTTAAAGTGAGTAAGCTGAGATTATATACAAGGATAAACATAAAGACAGAGCATAAGAAATTATTAAATAAAATAGGCATAAGTAATAAAATATACAGTTAAAAGAAAAAGCTAATTAGAAATTGGAAATGAAAAGGTCATTGAAATAAAAATATAATCAGTACACTACTGTCCAGTACAGAAGAAGTAAAAGAAGCTTTTTAATATGAAAGTGCAGTTAAAAAGTACAGGCAACACATGGAGAAGCTCCAACATTTATCTAGTGGCTGTTCTCTAAGGGAAGAGTATAGGAAAAGCTGTGCTGCAGATAATTTTCTGTAACTAAAAAAAGATATGATTTCTCTAATCAAAAGTTATACTCAGGGTAATGAGCAAGATAAAAAATAAATACATCTATACTAGACAGGTGATAGTGAAACTGCAGAACATTATGTATAACAGATACTCTTAAAAATTCCCAGACAAATGCATTGGAAAACTTAACAGCAATGAAAAATATAATTTCCTGAAACTGAACCAGAAAGAAATAAAAATCCTAATAAACCTATTAGAACAACAACAAAAAAATTGAATTGGTAATCAAGAGTGTTCTCTCACCATAAAATGTGCTAGAGCCGGATGGTTTTATTTGAAAACTCCATCAACCTATAAATCATAAATAACCTTTATCTTATATTTGGTTTGCCAAAAGTTCATTTGGATTTTTCTGTAGGCTAGAATAGAAAAACCTGAAAGAACTTTTTGGCCAACCCAATATAAAACTATTTCATAGAACAAACTTATTTCCTGCAGTTATAATCATCCTGGAAAAGGAAATGACAACCCACTCCAGTATTCTTGCCTGGAAAATCCCATGGAGAGAGGAGCCTGGTGGGTTACAGTCTATAGGGCTGCAAAGAGTCAGACATGACTGAAGCAACTTAGTAGCAGCACCATCAAGACCAAAGAAGGGCAATAAAAGAAAAGAAAATGATAGGTAATTTTCCTTTATGAACAAATATACAAAATAATAAATATATGCAAAAATTAAAGTAAATGTTGGCAAATAAAATGCAACATCATATTAAAAAATACCCCATGGGAATAGGAAAAAAATACCCCGTGACCAAAAGATTTGCCACTGGTGATCTTCATTTAAATCCATAGAGTTTAGAAGAAAATATGAAAGATTATAAGAAGATTGCTTAAACAAGACACCAGAGACGCAAATTGTAATAAGAAATAAAAATTAAGAAAAAAAATAAAAATAAAAATTAAGACAATAATGTAATACTCTTTTCCTGAGATTGACAATATGAAAAACATTTGATAACATTAATACAAAGTGTTGGTGGAGAGAGGGGGAAACAAACATGCCCACATACTAATCAACAGTTATAACTTCCTTACAAGGCAGTTTTTCTCACATTCATCAAAAATGTATAAGACATATATCCTTTTAGATCTAGTGTATAGTATGTAAACAGTCACTTCACAATACAAGATATATGATCACTTTATACACACACACACACACACACACTCACACACACAAATACATGACTGAGTTAGGAAAAAAGCACACATAAAACTGGCTTCCCTGGTGGCTCAAATGGTGAAGAACCTGCCTGCAATGCAGGGGATCTGGGTTCTATCTTTGGGTCGGGAAGATCCTCTGGAGAAGGAACTGTATTCTTGCTTGGAGAATCCCACAGACAGCCCTGGCAGGCTACAGTCCATAGGGTTGCAAAGAGTCAGACACGACTGAGTGATTAACACACACACATACACACACATAAAACTAAGTAGACCTTTTCAACATCACCCACTGAGGCAGGGAAAGGGTGAGCAGTACTGTGAGGGTGGTATCAATCATGGAAGCTTTCCTGGAAGATGTGAAGAGCAGAAAAGGTAGTATGAGCAACTGCAGGCAGAAGGCAGACAGACATGTTGTAAAGCTGGGGAATGAGAATTAAATGTCTTGTGGAGGTGACAGAAAAGCAGTCGGCTGTTGGGGGAAGGGTAAAGGGAGCTTTCTAAGGGTGATGCCACTGCTGGTCAGAGAAGGGGATCTTCACTCTTCCCGGACTGTCTACACCATAGGAGAGTTTAGATTTGCTATATTAAGCAAGGGAGAGTGGTGGGTGGGGTTTTCACATCGGAGGGAAATTGTGCTAAAGGTCGCAGGTCATCTGTGACTTAACAGATTAATTATCATAGTCATACCAGGAGGGATGACAAACCTGAACTTGAGTTGGGTCAGCAAGATTAGAAAAAACCTCTAACAATCTCAATAACAAAACCGTTGTTAGTTTGGAAAATTTTGATTTTAAAATTAAATACATCTTGGAACAGTGAATATGTATAGTGTGAAAATGAATCATATTTTGGAGCTAATTTTGCATTTATTTCCTTAAACTCTTCTTGTCTTGTGCAAGGTGAAAAGGAATAATGTAGATTTTAGAAAAATGAGTAAAACAGCTAGAAGAAGTTTAGTTTTTATGACTTAAGGAAGTGCCATCATTCCCCTTATGACTGAAGGATTTTTTCTCCCTCTTTTAAATTCATCTCAGGAGAGGACTTACAGGGGACCTTCCAAAGGTTAGTGCTGCATAAATAGATGGCGTGAAAAAAACAGAATTATTGACTGAAAGAAGTTTCACCCAAGAAACAGCCCCCAACTTACCTGTACTTCCAACACTGAGCCACAAAAGGAGACCCCACAACCAGAAGCATTTCTCCCAGAAGTCTGGGGGCATCACTGAGCTGGAAGTCTCAGAGCTGGGGTAGAACCGACCGCTAATGACAAAGAGATCGCATAACCCAGCCTCTCACCAAACACCCACTTGGGTCTCACTAATTATTAACTGGCCTCATGACCTGTAAAAGAAAACTCTCCCTCTTTGTTTAACTTACCCAGCTTTTCTGTTTCTTCTCAATGAAAATAGTTTTTTGTTTTTTTTTTTTAAGGCAGGGGACATTGAAACACATTGTCCTTCCTCTCTGAACCAAACATCATCAGGAAACAATTTCCTGCACCTCTCCCACTTCCCATTATAAAATGTTAGTAAAACCCAAGGCAGAAATCTTTCATCTTTAAGCAATCACAAACCCACATTGTCCTGGAGTCATCTGTGGATATGTTTATTCCCCTAGAAGGACTCTGAACAGCTTGAGGGCAAAGACCTTCTGTTTTCATTTTTCAGTCCCCAGTGCCCAGCACAGAGCTGAGTCAACAATATGTGTTTAGAGTATATTTACCAGGAAGAATGAAAGAAGATGAAACTGGCTTCTGAGAGTACTATCCTTAATAGAATCTTGAGGCTACAAATAAGTCCAACCTCTAAGAAGGGATGTTCAGCTTCTTGAATTCACAGATAAAGGAACCAAGAAATAGAGAACGAAAACGACCTATGGAGAGGAGACGGTGCTGCTGGAAGTGGCAGAGCTGGCCTGCAACCAGGGTGTTTCCAGTGTACCGCTTGGCCTCTTCATTCAAAGGAGCAGCAGAAACCACAGAGTGCTCGCTCCGGACAGCTCAGGGAAAAGGGGAGGCACGGTACTTGCCCAGCACTCGTGGAATTGCAGCACGCTGCTGTGAGGCTGAGAACCCGCCAACAGGGCAGCATGGAACGTTCTGGACCACAGTTCTGTGAAGGGACTACTATCTATCTACAGCTTCAGGGCACAGAGGGCTTATACCCTGCACGAGCTCATGCAGAGTTGGGGTTTGAAGCAGGACAAGCTAGCACCAGAGGCCATGCCCTGAACCTCTGCACCAACAGTCTGTGCCAAGGCCACCCAAGACGGGGATAAAATTATTTTGGAGGGGCCAGCCTTTGCCTCCCCTCGTGTGTGTGATCCCACAGCTCAGGAAGGAGAGCAGCAGCAGACAGGGCACTACTGGTGTCAGAGACCAAGCCAGGTGTAGAGGTCCAGGTCCTCAGAGAAAAAGAGCCAGGGTGGGACTAGTTGTGTGAGAGATTTATCGGGGCTAACACTGTGAAGACTAGAAGATGGCAGCGAGGACCTTGAGACCCTACAGGTGATGGAGGGCTGGCATCTGTGAAGAAAGAGGGCTGCACAGGAAGTCCCGGAATACCGCCGGTTCCTAGAATGTCCTGGCCAAAGCCATGGGGAAGCCTCAGCTGAAGTCTCAGGCTAAATAGCAGCCCGTCTCTTATGAGAAGGAGCTGTGTTAGCAGCCCCGCCTGGCTCAGTCACTAGCTGGGGACAGTCTCTGCACAAAGATGAGAGGAGATTCAGAAGGGCAGCAACTGGGACCATGAATCAGTCCGGTTCCCCAGAGCAGGAGACGGAGGACGGCACTCTTGTGGACACGCCAGCACGATCAGAGCTGGCTCACCAGGTCAGAGGTTCCAATTACTCCAGCACAGTGCTCCCTGTGCAGCATCAGCACAGCTGACATGCAGAGGGCACCCTCCCTTCACACTCATCATCTGGTCCAGTGCTCTCCATGTGCAGTTGCTCAGAATCACCCAGGGGACCGAGGGCAGACTGCTGGGTCCAACCCAGACACGCTGACTGAGAATCTCTGGGGCTGTGCCCAGTTCTCTGCAGTTCTCATGCCAGAGCCACTAGTCTTCTGTTAGTTCTTACCAAGGCCGTCTCCATGTGACCAGTGAGGAAACAAATGCTCACAGAGACCAGTGGCCGAGGAAGGACTGTTTCGGGGCGCCAGGAAAGCGGGGTACCCCTGGAAAGTGAAGTGACATGTTTTAGAAGGTGAGGATAGAGATTTTTCTACAGGAGACACTGGTGGGGACCAGCTTATAATCAGTGTATATGGTCTGTCTCCCCCAGGGAGAATATCAGCCTTCAGAGGGCAAAATTATGGTCTCTTTTGTTCATTGAGGTGTCCCCAAGCACCTGGCACAGTGCCTGCCACTCAGCCAGTGCTCAGTATTTGCTAAGGGGAGGGGGTGGGGAGGGATGGTACTCTGCAGGGGCTGCTCATTTAGAGAAGGGCAGTGGGAAGGGGCCTGATCTTGAGACCACATGGAGGCCCCCCATCCTAGAATGGAATTGGATGGTTTTACTTGCCTAGGATCTGGGAACATGGGGAGGCAAATGAGAGATCGAGGATGCCGGGTTCAATATCCAGCGCTCATTACTCAGGCTCCCTGCTGTGTGCTTGCTACCTAGACATTGCTGGGCACATAGAAGGTGCTCATTAAATGCTTGTTTTGAGAGAAAAAAAGAGAAGGAAGAGATGGGGGGTGGAAGGGAAGAGAGAAAGAGAGGAAATTATAGGCTTCAACCCCTGGAATCCACAAAATCCCTTCCAGCCTTTTCTGCCTGCCTGTTCCCAACTCAGACTCCTAGCTTCCTCATCTTCCTTCAGGATCCCAGGCCTTCAGTTTACGGGTAGGATTGGAAGTGGGGGGAATATAAACTAACATACTAATATAAAATACATTTTATTATTTTAATTAATAAATTTAATTAATTCTGGGCCTCACCTGATTATGACTACAAAATGAGGTCACATTAATTTTTTCAAGTGTGGTTTTTAATAGTTCTACATGCGTATGATTTTTTTTTTAAATTAAGAAGTACAAAAGCACAGTGCCCATCTCAAACCCACTACTCACTTCCCTTTTGACGTCACCTCACAGCTGGAAGAAGGTGAAGACAGGGCATCAGATGCTGCCACCAACATCTCACTCCTGGGTTTCATTCTGGCTTTGACTAAGGAAACACTTTCTAATTATAGCAAACAATTAGGGTGTAGTAGGACTCAAGACAAGCAGACCTGGGTTTAAGCCCCAGCTCCATCTCATCGCTTAGCAACTTTCTTCCTGCTTTTGTCTTTCCTTCCCCAAAGGAAGCTCGCACCAACCCCCTAGGTGTCAGTTTCCTCAAACCCAAACCCCAAGGATGAGAAAATGATGGCAAGATTGCCCCCTCTATGGTGTCTGGATGACCCTGGTCCTTAATTTGACCCCATTCCTTGAGGAGGTGATCCATGGGGATGACTGACTGAAATCACGCTCCCAGGAGCTCTGGTTGTTTTACAAAGATACACATTAACTTGCCCTGCAGGGGTGGAGACAGAAGAGGAAATGGAGAATATTTCATTCTCCATTGAGAATGGAGAATGGTGGTTGAAGAAGCCCAGAGATGGAGACCAATGCTAATTTTGCAGATTAAAAAGTACATATTGCCAAGACTTCTAGATAACATCTAGCCATCAGGTAACAAAGCAAGTGAAGTGCCATCATTTAGCAAGTTCAAAAAATACCATTAATCTCTGTAACATTACTCATGATCTTTTCTGTTTTCCAGGACACATATATTAACTTGATTAGCATGAGAAGTTCATACTGTGGTTCAGGTCATCTTCTCAATTTATTTTAACATTATGCATATAATTAAGTCTGTTATCTCTTTCCTCTGTTCATTCTGGTTTTTCCTCCTCTCTCTTTCTCTCTCTCTCCCTCTCTTACACACACACCAACATTCACAGGTCGGGAGAGAAGGCAGAACCCAGGTGTGGGTGGGGGGAGGCAGAGGTGATGGGTGTGACAGTTGTTCTCTTCCTACTGCTTCTATTTTCTCAGAGAAATAGGAAACAAAGCTGTCAACTGAGAGTCAAGTTTGGAGAGGAGGTTTTGAAAAAAGGAATCTGAAAGTCTGATCTCATTCTGAATTGTGCCTGCTGTGACGAATGAGAATTTGCAGAGCAAATAGAACAGGCTCTTAAAGAGATGCTCGCTCTTGTCTCCAATTGCAGCTGAAGTGCGACTAGAAAACAAAAAATGCTAAGTCACCACCCTCTTGCTCTGCCGTGACCCCCTTCCCCACATGCACATACTTCCACTACCACATTCTTTTTTTTTTTTTTATCAAACAAAGAAGTTTTATTGGCATCTAAAAACAAAGTTCACCCAACATTGAAACGTACTTTAATACTGATGTTGTTTTCTTTTTTTCTTTTGAACTCACTGCAGTATGAGGAACAAATCACAAACACTTACTTTGGAGAAACAGAGACCAGAGTGTAGATTTTACAAAATCACTTTTTAAAATCTCTGTATTTGTGCTCCTCAAATATTTAGAGCCAGTCTTTGCATAAAATATCACAGCTTTGTCTATTACCTTACAATTCTGCAGCAGCCTAGAGATATGGATAAGATATACCATCACTTGCTATTCTGAAATATATCTATTACCATATCCAACCTAATGCCACTACCACATTCCAAGGAGACTGGAAGGACAAATCCCTGAGGACTTAATGGGAGGCAGCTGAACTGCTCTAGGAGACCTCCCTTCCCCACTTCCCTCTGCAGGAAATCAGCGGTTTGAAGGAGAAATCACGAGAATCCTAAGTTCTGCGGGTTTCCCCTTCCTTCCTGAAAGGGGAGGAAGGCGGTGCTCTGCTTCACAACAAGCTGAGTGAGGGGGTCTACTGGCTGAGAGTGAGGGGAAACACATGAAGGTGTCAGCGGCAGCTGCTTCTGAGTCGGCAGTGTGCTGGGCAACCTCCCTGGCCTTCAGATCTGTCCTATTGGAGAGGGATAGGTGGAGTGTAGAGAGCAGCAGGGGGCAGGGGGGAGGCGCGACACAGCCTACACCCCTCTGAAGGATGAGGAGAACCTTCAGGAGAGAAACTGACTCTTCTCCCTCAGGGTTCCCCTGGTGAGGGTGGTCTAGGGCAACACTGGAGACAGGGAACCCCGAAAGAGGAAGGCGAGGAAAGAGAGAGGCCTCCATGTCCCCTTTTCTCCTCTAAGCCTTTGGGCTTGGGACTGACTGTGGTGGGGAGGAAGGAGGACATGACCTTAAAGTTTTAGAACTGATCAAACTGGGTGGGGCTTCCTACTTCTGGGTATACATCCAAAGGAAATGAAACCAGGGTATCAAAGAGGTATCTGTGTCCCATGTTCACTGCAGCTTTCTTCATAATAGTCAAGATATGGAAACAACTTAAGTATCTGTCAATTGATGAATGGATAAAGAAGATGTAGTACATATATACAGTAGAATACTATTCGGCTATGAGAAAGAAGGAAATCCTGATGTTTGCGACAGTATCAATGGACCTTAAGGCATTATGCTAACTAAAATAAACCAGAGAGAGGATGATAAATATTACATGATATCACATATATGTGGAATCTTAAAAAAAAGTCAAATCCATATTAATAGAAACAGAGAGTAGAAAAGTGGTTGCCAGGGGCTGGTTAGGGGGCAGTGGTGGTGAGGGAAATAAGGGGAGGTTGGTCAAAGGGTATAAACTTTTAGCTATGAGATGAGTAAGGTCTGAAAATCTGATGTAAAACATGGTGACCATGGTTGATAACACTATACTGTTAAACTGAAATTTACTAGGAGAGTAGAACTTAAATGTTCTCACCAAAAAAAAGGTAAACATGTAAGGTGATGAATATGCTCATTAACGAGATGAAGGGAAACCTTTCACAGTGTATATGTATATTAAATCACCACAATGTACACTTTAAATATCTTACAATTTTACATTCATTCATATCTCGGTAAAGCTTAAATTAAAAAAAAATCTGGACTGGGATGGAGACTGGATTGGATTTTTAATACCCTTCACTACCCCCCTCTTCACACAAAACTAAAAAGATGACACTAAGGAGCAGGAAAAGCAGCTTATACGAAGGCAGCGGCTGGAGAAAAAGAAAATCATTCCATGTTTGCTTCCACTAAATTCAGATCATTCATCAAACCACTTATAGAGGTAAAACAGATCATGCCTCAGAATCCACTGGCTAAAATGCTCTTCTTCCCTTTTCTGTATCACAAGGTTTAAGCATCTCAGTTTTGCCGCTTGGTCAGTGCTAACTGAACTCTAGTGCTCCACCTTAAAACTGCAGGCAGGGGACTTCCCTGGTGGTCCAGTGGCTAAGACTCTGCTCCCAGTGCAGGGGGCCTGGGTTTGATCCCTGGTCAGAGAACAGCTCCCATATGCCACAACTAAGAGTTTGCATGCCACAACCAAAGATCCCACAGGCTGCAAGACCTGGTGCAGCCAAATAAATAAATAAATACTGCAAGCTCTCCTGACTACTGGTAAAAGAAAACCCAGAAAGACACAGAAAAAATGTTTCCTTTTTTCCTACAGCTGCAGAAAAGTACACACTATTCTGTACTATACTGTCATGTTTTTATCAAGTGGGAAATTGAAAAACAGTCATAAAAGTCTCCACCTTAATCTTCTGTTCAAGAATCCTGTGTAAATATGTATTTACTAACTGTTTTCTATTATTCTAAAACTATCTTCAAAATATTTCTACAGAGGAGTCTTCTTGTGCACCTGGATTTAAGACACCTGCATTTAAGAGGTTATTACCATGTTCTGTGAATGGTAAATCCCCACCCCTAAAAGTCTGCAATTTCTGATTGTCCTGCTGAAGAATCTATGTACTAGTTTGGTTATTTAAAACACACATGTTTTCTGAAATATATAAATACATACGAGAGCTTTTGGAACCAGAAAGAGCTTTGGCATTTTCTTATCCCTTTACATACAAAAGAATGATCAATCTGAAGTCTTTGCTGCAGTCCTGCTCCAGATACAGAGTAGAGATTCTGTCTCACTCAAGTTAGCACACAGGCCTGGTTAAAGCCTCAAAGCCTCCATCTCTCTCAGGCAGCACAGGTCACTCCTGACAATCATGAAGTAGAGGGCATCTGAAACACAAGAGTCAGTGCATGCTCAAAGCATTCACATCAAAACCAACCGATGAACCTCCACAGTAAACACTGAATGTCTCCAACAGGCTAGACAGGAAGACCATAAAGAGGGCAAGACACAAGCACTCACAAGGAGCCTCAGAGGGCCCCCTGAAGACCCACAGTTACCACACAACATGCTCAGTATGGTGACAGAGCTGGAGACAGAAGGCTGTGGGTGTTCTGAAGAGAGAGGGCCAAGAGCCTGAACAGTCAGAGTGGGTTTTCATCAAGGAGATGCTACCTGAGCTGAGGTGAAAGAGAAGGAAGAGCACCCAGAAATGAAGAAGCAGGGGATAAGTATTCATTGTACATGATTAGACGTGCAGTATGATCAACTTGTGTATTTGTAAAGATCTCTCTGGAGGGCAATGCGGAAGGCAGTACTGGAATTAGAGGCACCAGACAGGAGGCTAATAAACAACATTCATTTAATATATATCGATGAAGCATCTCTTGTCTGCCTGGCACCATGCTAGATTCTGTCTAGAGGAGAATAAAGACTGTCAAATAGGTGACAATGAGCTGGCACCACCTCAAGTGCCATACCTAAGAAATTAGGGGGTGCAGCTATTAATAGGAGCAGAATCTCTTCAGACTTAGTTTGTAATGCAGAAATCCAGCTGAAAAACATGTGGTGCCATACGGTAAAAGAATGACAGATCTGAAGGATATTCAGGATGTAGAACCACCTAGCAGATGCTGGGGGGACCCCCACATACACACCTCACTGTTCATGCACCCTACAGCCTGCCAATGCAAACATCTCTGAGTCTTGACTTGAGGACACTCATGTTTGGCTTTACAAGAGGCAGGCCAGGAAGCACCAGGGAGTTAGCACCCCTGGGAGTGGTCCTCCACCAACATCAGATGGAAGATGGTGAGACAACTCTGAGTGCCTTACGCAAAGGACCCAGATGTACTGCATCTCAAGTGCCTACAGTGGGAACCTGATCATCAACACACCTTGTCCTGGCTCCTCTCCCTTCCCTGTCTCACTTTCCCATTCTCCTAACAGTCCTTCCTGGAATCACCTCCCAAGTAAACTACTTGCACTAAGATCTTTGTCTTAGAATCCACTTTTGGGAACCCAACCTGAAACAAACAGGAAAAAAAAACTTAGTGAAAGATTAGATGGTAAAAATGGAAACCCAAATATGAGGCTATAAGATTTATAATTTGGGAGATGCTGATCCCATTAACTGAGAAATAGACTCTTCAGGATAGGAAGAGGGGTACATTTGGGGCAGGGGCTGGTGAAGACAGGATAAGTTTGGAAACATTGAGCTTCAGGTGCCCAAGGGACTGTTACCTCAAAATTCCCTGAGTATAAGGTTAAGACTCTTGGCTTTGAAAAAAGTGAAACAGTAGAAAAGGGAGTACACAAAAGGAGAAACCACCAGAAATGAATGTCACTTCTCCCTAGGGTAATTACCTAAGAGAATACAAAGCCCGAGCTGTCTCTTCCAACCGGTTTCTGTATTCTAACTTCTCGTAGTTGGAGGGACTCACTCCTTTAAAACCATACATCACTCCCCACCAACAGCCAGCAATGGCAGCAGTAGAATCACTGTCTCCACCGTGGAAAAATGCTCGGTGGGCAAGCTCCTTCCAGGAGTCCCCTGCAGCCAGGATGGCATCGTAGGCAATCATGGGGGCATCGTGTCCACTGCTGCCACCCCAGCCAGAGTAGCTCACAGAAGTGTAGAACTGATCCCTTTCCTTCACATCAAAGGGCTTGGGGAAGGTAGGGGCTGATTTGCCATCCCAAATTCCTCTGAGTTTTAGGTACTTTTCCCATTGGTCTTGGAAGTAAGACCTGTAGGGAGAAAAAAAGACTACAGTCAATTGAAAAATTGAAGTCAAAAGCCATCAGGAAAGGTACCAGATAGAAATGTGAACAGGGAGAGTTCCAACATGACTTCAACCTCTAGTACTAATATGATATGATACAAAAAATCAAAATGAATGCTAAGTGACCTTCATTCAATACATTTTTGCTAAGGAGTGATATAAATAAGGTATCGATATCTGTTTCTATTAATGCATAAAAAAGATATACAGCAAGTTAAAGGTGAGAAATGTAGCTTTGCTTTCCCTGAGTTGAGAATTAGGTCAAGTGTCAACTTTCAGGGTAAACTTTATTTATTTGGCCTGTCATCATATATTTTATTGTTTTATATTACTTTAACAAAATTGTACATATTTAAGGTGTACGACATGATGATTTGATATACATATGCATAATGAAATGATCACTACCATCAACCTAATTAACGCATCATCTCCTTATATAGCTACTTTTTTTTTTTTAAGAGGGAACTTCAGAACATCATGACCACGGATGATTTCAGTAGAAAGCCTCTGGACATTTTTATTCTAAGAAAGGCAATGTGATGTGAATTCAAAAAAGGGGAAGATGTGGTCTTACCACTTATTAATTAGCTGGTGGAAAAACCTATCTTTAGGTCATTTTAACCAAGGATTTCACAATATTATTTGTTTATCAAGACAACACTGAAAAAACAAGTTCCAGGAAATAATCAGGAAAGTTCATCTCAGTAAAGAATAGCCACAGGGACTTTTCCCTGGCGGTCCAGTGGTTAAGACACTGCTCTTTCACTGCAGAGAGCACAGGTTCAATCCCTGGGTGGGGAATGAAGATCCCACATGCTATGTGGCATGGCCAGGAAAAAAAAAAAAAGAGAAAAGGAAGAGCCACAAAACTCTGGAGAACAGGATCCCTACATATCAGGGAAGCAGTGCAGCCGCCCTACTCACTGAGGTCTTCACTTGGCTCCTTGGTGGCCATCACTGCTGGGACTGTATTTAGAATCCTTAGCAGGAGGGTGGGGAGGGGGCTGGATGCAGTGGATGATGAAATTTGATGGGAGACCCATGATGGTTGCTAAAAATCTGAGTTTTAGGCATACACATGCAAGCATGTGTGCATACAGACTCAACCATTTTCTAGCAGAAGTGTGCACCTGCAAACTCACCAGTGTTGAAGATTCTGCTCCACAAAGTAGCCTGATTGGACAATGTACTTTTTAGCTTCCGGAAGTACCTCTATCAGTCCTCTTCCCCATTGCTGGGGAGGCTTGCCGTTCACAGCATAGGCTGTAAAAAGAGCAGACACAAGGGCGCCCAGGTAGCCTGTGGGATGGTGGTGGGTCATCCGGCCACTCTCGATGCTCACCTGGATCAGTGTGTCCAGCTGACTGCTGTGAGGGAACCGGAGACCAATGCACATGGCCCTCATGGCAGCCCCGCAGCCACCCTCGTGAGTGTTAAAGGGAATCCTCCAGCCGTTGGCTTTGTCTGGCTCCAGCAGCATGGCGTTCTGCACTGAGGCGCCCCCTGGGAAGAGTCAGGTAGAGAATGGGGTCAGGGTAACCAAAGCAAAAGCCCAGCAGGAGAGAACCAAGCCCTGCCTCCAACTTTCCTGGATGGAAAGGGAAAGCCAAAATGTGTGGTGATGAAGGCCCCCAACTCCAAACCCCGAGTCAGCACTGTGCCTTACTTACACTAGCATACTTAGATGCTGCTGGGTTTGTGGGAGGGGCTTTTCATCAGGAAATGTTATGAGCTGAACTGTATTGATGATGAGCTGAATTGTATTCCCCAAAATTCATATGATGAAGAGCTAATCCCTAGAACTTCAGAATGTGACTGTATTTGGAGATGGGCCTTTTACAGAGGTGATGAATTTAAAATGAGAATGTTAGGAAGGGCCCTGATTCAATCTAATCAGTGTCCTAACAAGAAGAGGAAACCGGGACACACAAAAAAGACACCAGGAATGGATGCTCTGAGAGGGCACAGCATGGTCTGCAAGCCAGAGAAACGACTCCTTCAGAAGAAATGAAACCAACACCCTGATCTCAGGCTTCCAGCTTCCCAAACAGTGAGAAAATGATATCTGTTGTTTAAGCCCAGCCAATCTGTGGTATTTTGTTATGGCAGGTCAAGGTAACTAATACAAGAGCCAGGGAAAAGGTGGTTCACATCAGCTGTTGGCCCATTGACTATAAAAATGTGAGCAAGAACCATTTGTGAGCAGACCTGGAACCAGAAAAAGAGTCTCTAAAAGACCTTTTCCAGTCTTCTTTAAAAAGAAAAAAATTTTCTTCATAGATATCAAAGAAAACTTAGAAACTACGAATAAGTGAAAGGAAAATAGGAAACTATAAATACTCTTACCACCCAAATCTCTCCCAACAGATATACATACATACTCTTAATGAAAATGGGTTCATAAGATATATAGTGTTTCATAATCTACTCTGCTTCGTATACATCTTTCCATATCAGTAAATACTTATTTGTGTAATTTTAAATGGGTGCAGATGTGTCACCATAATGAAATAAATGACAGAACATTTAGCTTGTTTCTATTTTTATCATAACTAAGAAAACTAATGTCCTGGGACTTCCCCTGTGGTCCAGAGGTTATGACTGCTTTGCGATGCAGGGGGCATGCGTTTGATCCCTGGTCAGCGAACTAAGGTCCCACATGCCTCGGGTGTGGCAAAAAAATTAATTAATTAAAAAATTAAAAACTAGTATCTTTGATATTTAAATCCCAATCAACATTTTAAATTACTTCCTTGGGTCTGTTTTAGTTCTCCACCTGCCCAGGACCTCCACCGGCTGTTCTCACCTGGTGCCCGGCCATCCATGTCTCCCATGCAGTCCTGGTAATGCTTAGCAAGGAGGGAATACAAGTGAGTTAAGTCTGAGACTTGGCCGGCTTCCAGGAGTGCTTCTGCCGTGGCCAGGTGCATCACGGTGTCATCGCTGACTCTCCACCTCTCCACATCTATGGCATCCAAGCCGCCAAGCTGGGCCAGCTGCCTGTGAATTTTCTCCCCATTCTGGAGGAACTCCCACTTTCCGTTGAAGTACCCCAAGGCATCTCCAGCTGCACTCAGCACCATGGCTGCCACATACCTCTCCATCAGTGCCCCGTACATGGTGAAGCTGTCTCTGGGGGAATATAAAGACACACAGAGGATGGGGAGAAAAAAAATCAGAAAAAATAATAGCCCTATCAGCATTTTACTGGGGCTTCCCTGGTGGCTTAGTGGTAAGGAAATCCACCTATCAATGGAGGAGACAGGTTCAATCCTCGGGTCCAGAAGATCACCTGGAGGAGGAAATGGTAACCCACTCTGGTATTCTTGCCTGGGAAATCCCATGGACAGAGGAGCCGGGTGGGCTACACTCCAAAGTGTCACACAGAGTAAGACACAACTGAGAGACTGAGCACACATCACATTTCACTGATTACTCACTCCTTGCAGGCACAGTATTAAGGGCATATCACTTAATCATCACAACAGGTCTATGGGGAATGGAGTAAGCCATTTTGTTGTGTTGTTGTTGTTGTTGTTCAGTCACTAAGCTAAGTCGTGTCCAAGTCTTTTTCAGCCTGGACTAGCCCGCCAGGCTCCTCTGTCTGTGGGACTTCCCAGGCAAAATTAGAACTTTGTCTTGTCTTGTCAAGTTAGGCAAGACTAACTAGGACCCTATCTTTGCCTCTCTGTGAGTGGCAAGCACATTAAATTCTGCAAATCAACTATTTTCTCTTTTTGGTTGAATTTGGCCTTGGAATGAATCCCTCCTTTCCGTAAATGTTAACTTTCCACTGGTATCAATGTTTGCAAAGCATCTGCACCTTCAGTCTCATCAGAGGGCCTGGATTATAGTCTGCACGGCAGAGATAAGAAAACTGGGGGCCAGAGAGGGTAACTTCACGCAAGCAACAGATGGAGGCACTGGGAGTTACTGAGTTACTGATCATGTTGAATTTCCTGGCACAAAAACGGTATTTGTAAAAAATTGACTTACATATTTTAATGTTCATAAATGATGCTCAGGAACTGGAGTTCTGGGCTAACAGTCCTGGCTCTGCCCAGAATGAGGTGTGTGATGGTGGACAAGCTACTTCCTTCCAGGACCCCAATTTTCCCATGGTAAATTGTATTGCCAGGAGGGGTGCGAGGGTAGTGAGGAGCTATAGATGCAACCTGGGTTCCCATCCTGCGCTGAGAGCTTCAGAGACCAAGCTTAGTTCTAGAATTCTGAGGACGGATCTTTAATCCCCTGTACCCTCTTCTAAAGGGGCTTCCCTTGTAGCTCAGTTGGTAAAGAATCCGCCTACAATGCAGGAGACCCAGTTTAGATCCCTGGGTTGGGAAGATCCCCTGGAGAAGGAAATGGCAGCCCACTCCAGTATTCTTGCCTGGAGAATCTCGTGGACTGTAGCCTGCCAGGCTCCTCTGTCCATGGAATCGCAAGAGTCGGACACGCCTTAGCGACTAAACCACCACCGCCCTCTTCTGAAGTCCTCAGCTTCCTGTCTGTAATTCCTCCTGACTCCACCCGAATGTGTTTCTGTGGGTTTCGAGTGAGACTGGGGGGTGGTGGGCGATGACCACCTCACTCCGTAAGAAATTTTCTTTTGAGTTTTTACACCGTGCTCTGGCCTCTCGCTTTCCAGAACGCTGTTATTCTTTATACGCGTAACTTTTACAGCTGACAGTCTCGTCCCCAAACTTTACCTTCAAAACGGAGATGTGGGCAGCCGATTCACGGCAGTCTTCTGCGGTTTTTGTTTTTTTTTTTTGGAGAGGGGGAGGGCACAGGCGAGTGGGGAACAGGTTCAGCCCCGACTGGGGTGGGGGTGGCCCCTAGGTCACCGCGGGAGAGGGGCGCGAGGGACGGGAGGGGATGCGGGCGGGGAGGGTGGGGAAGGAAGGGCGGGCGGGACCGGTCGCCGCGGGAGAGGAGCGCGGGTGTGGGGGCCTAGCGCGGGGAGGGGTACCTGGTGGCCGGGAGGGGTGTCAAGCTCGTGAGCCCAGCGCGGGGCCGGGAAGTCAGGGTGCGAGGAGGCCCAGCGCGGACCCCGGCGCGAGCCGAGAGCTGAGCACCCAGCCGGGTGGAGCGCCGCGTCGCGGATCGTGCTCAGGTTCCACAGACCCGGGCCGGGGCCCGGCGCTTGCAGTTGCTCGAGCGTCAGCTGCAGCCTTGCGTCAGCCGCCCCCTCGGCTCGGGAGGCGCCGCGGAGCACGCACGACGGGAAATGGCGCCCCTCTGCCACCAACATCCCACCCCCACCCCCCGCGAGACTGTCAGGACCCAGGAGTGGCCCTGGCTTGAAGCCTCGGCCTTTCCTCCAGTCCAGCTCCCCTGGACAGTGAACAGTGTGTGGCCCCGATCTCGGAAAACGGTGCTGATTGCGTCAGTGGCCTTTGTCACGGTTCTGGGCCCCTCACCTATAAAATGGGGCAATAAATAAGCCAGAAAGATAAAGACCATTACAGTATACTAACACATATATATGGAATTTAGAAAGATGGTAACGATAACCCTATATGCAAAACAGAAAAAGAGACTCAGATGTATAGAACAGACTTGTGGACTCTGGGAGAAGGCGAGGGTGGGATGTTTCAAGAGAACAGCATCGAAACATGTATATTATCTAGGGTGAAACAGATCACCAGCCCAGGTTGGGTGCATGAGACAAGTGCTCGGGCCTGGTGCACTGGGAAGACCCAGAGGGATCGGGTGGAGAGGGAGGTGGGAGGGGGGACCGGGATGGGGAATACATGTAAATCCATGGCTAATTCATTTCAATGTATGACAAAAACCACTGCAATGATGTAAAGTAATTAGCCTCCAACTAATAAAAATAAATGGAAAAAAAAATAAAGTGGGGCGATAATAGTACCGACCTCTTTAGGGTGGTTGGTAGGATTAATTTTAACTCTTGTCATTTATGTGGTCGCAGAATAGAATATTTTCATGCTGATAATAAATAAAAGCAAAGGAAAACCAAGATTCTTTTTGCCTGAATAAATTCTTGAAAAGAATTAGAAACACTATCTGCAGGTATTCTATGCAGATATTCTAAACACTATATGCAGTATTCTGCAGACTTTTCTGGATGCTTATCTTTCTTGCTACAGACATTAAACACCTGCTGTTTACCAGGTGGATGCTAGGCCCTAACACCACCCTGCTCTCATAAAGTGGACCCACGCAAGGGATCCCATCTTAGGCTGTTGATTTCCATTTTTTGTTTTTAAACAAAATGTTATTTTTATGATTAAAAAAATAATGCATACTTCCAGTAGAAAAACTGAGAAATCTTTTAGAAATCTCTCTTTAAAAATACATCTCTCAAAAAAAAAAAAAAAAACATCTCTCATGTGTTCACAAAGATAAATGTTTCTGGATTTCTTTGCAGAACTGTTTCTTAGCAGAAAATTGGAAATAATCTCAACCTCTATTTAGAGAGGAGAATGAGTTTCCTTCTCCTAAATTAGGGCATAATTATGAAACTTTTCCAAAAAGGTAGACATTTAAATCAGCAGATTTGGGGTAAATAATTAGGTTCACAAGGGAAGAAACTGGAGACATTTTGTTAATTAAAAAATCAGCTTTTAGAGTGAGGGATATAAATGGTCTTATTTATATAAGAAAAAAGAACTCTGTGTGTGTGTGTGTGTGTGTGTGTGTGTGCATGCCTGTGTATAAAATGATTGAAAGGATACATGTTAAATTGTTATTAATGATTATATAATTATCTCTCAGGTGGCTAAGGTGAGAGTTTGCAGGGAGTAGGGAGAGAGAGAAGGGAAAACTTTTAATCTTTCATATTAAGAATTTTTACATATTACATGTAGAAAGAAATTTTTAGGAATAGGAAATAGGAAAAAAAAAGCCCACATTCTACCACTCAGACTGTAAAGACTGATACTTACAGTCTTTATGCACATTTTTTTAAAATGGGGTCATTTTGTATATACAATATTTTATATCCTATTTTTAATCACTAAGCTATACATTGTAAGCATTTGTGTCATTTGTAATAGTGTCATTACTACAATTGGATCCAAATGTTCAAATAAGGTAATGCCTCTAAAATAAACCCCCTTTCATGTTGATACAAAGCAATATGAGGCCCTGATGTTCAGTTCCTCTCCAGCCACACCATGGCCAGGGCTGTTTCAACAGAAAGGAAACAGAAGTATAGATAGTTGAAAAGCAGGGGATTAAACAAATCTTCATCTTCAGGGGCCTGAATGTGTTATACTGTGCCACCATGCCTCATGAAATCTTGAGAGCTAAAAACAAATTTTTTTTAATGAGAGAGAGAAAGATAGAGCTAACAGGAAATGGTTAATAGACAGGGCCCCTGACCTCTGCAGCAAATGTAAAATAACAAAAAGTTTCAGAGAAAAATTTACCACAGACTAGGACACAATTTAACACAATTTGTTAAAGTGATTTAAAGTGGGTAAAAAATGAAGTAGAGGCTTTTTAGAAGAAAACAGAAGAAAGCTAGCCCAGGAGAAATAGGAAGCCAAAAACGGCTGTTCACATATCCTGCAGCATCAACTCACTTCAGAAGATTCAGTGAGCATCTGTGATGGTTAATTTTAGGTATCCACTTGGCTAGGAAAAAGTACCCAGATATTTGGTCAAACATTTTTCTAGATATTTCTGTGAAGGTATTTTTAAGATGAGATTAACATGGAAATCAGCAGCTAATTTTCTTCCATGGTAAGTGGGCCTTACCCATTCAGTTGAAGGCCTTAATAGAAAAAAGACTGATCTCACCCAAGGAAGAAGAAATTCTGCCAGCAGACTATCTTCACATGGAGCTGCTACATCACTTCAACCTGGGTCTTCAGCCTGCTAGCCTATTGTGCAGATTTTGGACTTGGTAACCTCCACAATCACATGAACCAGTTCCTTAAAATAAATCTCTCTCTCCATGTGTGTATTGGCTTTGTTTCTCTGTAGAATCCTATTACAGCATATAAAGTATGCTAGATACTTTGCTGGGCGCTTACTGCAGTTACTGAGGTAGAGCAAGAATCACAGGGATAGAGGAGACTTCATATAGTGTAACGACATGAGGCACAAGCACTGTGACCAAGGAGAATGTTCAAGGTACCAGCTCGGCAAATAGGAGGGAGACATTATAATTTAGAGGGTTCACAGAAGGCATCTAGAGAGAATTACATCTGGGCTTATTTTTTTAAAAAATAACTAAGAAGATAAACTAAAATTTCAAGCCCAGACATAACCCAAACAGCTAGTTCAGAGGTTTTTAAAAAAGTAAAAGCAAAGATTTAAAAAAGTAAAAGTAAAAACAAAGATGCAGATTTAAGTTGATATTTCCTTCCCAGTGATGCACGGTTGCTTAGCCCGACCTCAGTGTTGAGGCGTGAGTTAGTTTCCAATCCGGCCTGTCACTGGGTTAGAAGACTGGTCATGGTCTTAAGCTTTCTCCTTTTCTGTCTTACTGAATCATTTCCAAACACTTCATCGTAAGACTGAATACTAGATTTGCACAATGGAAATTAAGTATCCTCCTGGAGGATTTTAAAGAAGGCTGGAAAAGAATTCAAAGATCAGTTTATCAAAGAAAACAGTCTCTGGCCACTGGTCCCAAAGTACTTTTTTAAAAATAGAATCCATATGTACACAAGAGCAAAGTGTACATCATAACATGTCAGTGTCAGAAGGGATATTTGCATACCTGTAACTTTATAGTGAGGAAAGTGAGGCCCAACTAAGTGAAGAGAGTGCCTTTGAGTCACACAGCAGAGAGAAGTAGCCTTCTCTGAACTCTTCTCTGAAGCAGGCCATGGTCTTGGAACTCTCAGTCCAGGGTTTCTTCCATTCCCTGTACTGCCATTTACACAGACTTTGAAATGATATGATAGACTAAACATTGAGTTCATTAATGGCTCTGAACCTCCAGAGCCTGATATTTTAAAATATTTCATACTCCTTTCACAAGAGCCCTCCATTTGATGACAGTGTAAAAGTCGTATTTAAAGAAAGATCCAAGATATGTGCTATAATTCTAATAAGCAGGCAGTAATCAAATATGGCAGAAGGTGGGGATGGGGACACTGAATGGAGAGATAAGTGGATACAAATTGGTGTTTTAAAAGCAGGCAATGGCTTCTCTCTTTCTAAGCAGAACAGAAAGAGACATGGGGGAAGTCCACATGCCTACCCACCCCTCTTCCCCCATGTCTCTGGAGTGCTCTCGTTTGCTTCTGTAAGTTGTTTTTTCCCAACCTTTGATCTGGAGATCCATGTAGATTTTGAAACCTTCTTTGGTACATTTTCTACCAGATGGCCCCCACCACTCTGCCTCTCCCAGTCCTGTGGGGATTTCCCACGGCCAGTCAGCTGAGTCCCCAAGCTCCCCTTCCCGAGTTTGCAATGGACTTTTGGTGCTCCTGACCACAGGCTCATCCTAAGCACTTTACTGCCCACAAGTCTGGCTCTCAGTGGGTGAAAATATAGCTTCCAGGAAATGGAAAGTAACTACTGAAGCCAAACACCTGGTGAGCCTTGCTTAAGTTCCCTCCCCACCCTCCCATCCTCTGCTCCACCATCCCTCCATCAGCGGGCAGACTAGGCTAACCTACCTGAGTCTGCTCATTTTGCTTTGAGAAGAATCTGCAGGACTATAGGTAAATGAAAACCTCATCAGGGGACATCTTTCAGCCCTCTCCTCCTATCCTCTGATGAGGTGTCAGTTCCCTCACCCTTTGTCTCTGACATTCATTCCTAAAACTGCTCTTTGGAGAGAGCTCAAGTTTGGGGTGGGGAATCTAAAAAGAGTGAGAGTGAAACCAAGACTAAACAAAGGAAGCTGGTTTAGGCAGGTTTCCTAGTGGTGACAGCGCTGGAGAGTCCCTCAGCCACCCCCTGTGGATGCCAGTGAAATCAGCTCCAGAATCAGGAGGCAGTCAATGTGAGGGTGTGCTACGGCTCTTCATGCCATCAAGTAAATTCTGCTCTTCTCTGGTGTCCCTGTGTAAATGGGGCCACAAGTGTTCGGATTTCCTCTCCCATTCAAATAGTAGCTAAATGTGTCTGTGCAAGGCGTACTTTAATTGTTGCCCTTTCTGGGGAGAGTTGATGAGAGATAAATCTCCTCTTTCCACTCAAGCCATGCAATTTCTCTTTAATTTTATGCATAGACAGGAGACAAGTGCTCAGGGCTGGTGCACTGGGAAGACCCAGAGGGATGGGATGGGGAGAGAGGCGGGAGGGGAGATCTCGATGGGG